TTGTAATATTTCTGATTTAAAATTTTGAAATAACAATTATTTTTTTAGGATTTTTACTAAATTTAACCTTTTTCTTTTGGGAAAAAAGGGCAAAAGTAGGACGGGCTGCCTTTATTAAATTTGGGTAATCAATCTTCTGTTAATAATGAGCATCACGTGCTCCGCACCAAATCCAGAGGGCCACCACGGAGCTAATCTGGTAAGGGAACATCTCAATGCACTCTTTAAGCCATTTGTCATATTTTAAAATTATGTGTGTGTGTGTCATTTGGTTTTTTTTTTTTTTTTTCATGTTCGAGTATGATGACATTGAGAACCACTCTTTTCAGGCATATTTTACACATAAATCTAAAAATAAAAAGGCAAATAATCAACTATTAAACGAATGTCAACCTGTTTCTGAACCTCACGACGATCATTTTTCTTTTCGAATCATGGTGGAGCAAGGGGACCGCCAACCGTCATTTTTTGCTTTGAAATAGTAGTATCCTCGGCAATATTATTTGGAACATAAAATGTATATACCACTCCCTGCGATCCTAAATAGGTCCTATGTTTAGGACCGGAGATATTTTTTGTTTTTAATATAAGATATTGTTTAACTTTTATTTTGGTTCTAAATATAAAATCTCAATTTATTTTGTCTTTCATATTTTTTTTTAGATAGTCTTTTAATAATGGTAATTCTGACCAATACACTTAAATATCACAGATATTTTTAGAAAAGACAACATTATTTATTACAAATTAGTTAACTATCTCTTATAATTAAGATCGGAGATAGTACCTCTTTTAACAACTATTCCGGTGTTTACTCATCAGGAATTAGCCTCTTATACAGTTATACTAGGCCTTATTTCAGTGGGTGCCAAACAACACTGTCGTTGTTATTAACTGATTCGCTTTTATGGGCCAATGGATTAATTGAAATTTTGATTATTAATTACGAGTAACATTTTGTTTTTTTTTTTTACCGCCCATCAAACATATGATATTATCACATAGAGTAAATTTGAGTGAGGTTAGATTCAATTATGGAAAAACTACTTGATAATAATAACGACGACGACAATAACAGGGAGAGGAATACGAGGATCAAACGCAAGGGTCGTTGCTTGAACAGGAAGCTCCTTTGCCCTTATTTGCTGCCGAAATAAGCAATACACACATTGGCGCACACAATATTTATAAAAAAAAGAAAAAGGAATCCACTCGTTGAAATCAAATAATACATATTTGGTTTGAAAATACGCACTCCCTTCTATCCACGATACATGGCAGTTTCTAAAAGCTCTGCTTGCTCAGGATATAGTTTAATGTGCCGTGTTTATGCTTCCCCCCCCCCCCCCATTTATCCCTGCAATCTTTATTATTACTTCAGATAATGAAGGATAAATGTTTTATAGGAATCACCGTTTAAATGTAAATATTTATTTCATTGAAAAGTAAAGTTGTAGAGATGTTAAAAAAAAAAACTGAAAATATTAGAGTCTTAACTATTTTTTAAAAAAAGAGACGTAAAATAATTAACATTAACCCATAGAACGAACTGAATGGAATGTGCAGGCGTGTGCGTATGTATGCCTATGAAACACGAGCATCTTTGATTGCAAATACTTTTATTTGGAAAAAAAAAATCAGTAACTGGTTAATTATGTTTTTGGATGGATAATGAAAAAAAGAAAAAAAAACTAATTCGTATAATTTTGATACAATTATAACTCATTTCCTAAATGTCGATATTGCTAAGTTTTTATAATTTTGATTTTAATTGTAACTCAACCCTTGATTTTTAACTCCATACAACTAAGTTCTTATAGTTTTATCGTTTAAAAAATTAGTCACTGCATTTTTAAAAATAATTTATAGAGTTTAGGAATTAAATTTTTGAATGATTAGAATTATAAAAACTGAACTGCAATGAGTGAAAATTCAAACACCGCCTTATAATTTAGTCAAGAATCAAGACTACAGAAATCAAGTTACGAGCCGTTTTAAAATTTAGAAACTAAGCCAAAATTATTAGGATAGGAATCAATTTTCCTGCGAAATAAAAATAAAAAGAAGGTGGCATCACGTGGGGGTGTTTGGCTCCACAGAAACAGCACCTTTTTCACTCTGCTTTTGATGGGCAGGCCCTTGTGCTGTGCCGCTCCTTCGTTCTCCTTTTTACCCTTTCTGCCTCCCCCCTCTCCCCATCACAGGTTCTCCGCCCCCTTATCTCCATGCGCCTCCGCCTTTGCCGTTACTTTCCCATTTCCTAATCCCAATTCATAACGCTTATAAGAAAAATTATATTTTTTTAGACACCTATGGATTTTTAAAATTTAAATTTAGTAGTTATATATTTCTCTATTTTAATTAAACATTCTAATCTTACTCTAGTAGCACCGTTAATTTATATGTAAGAGCTAACAGTACTAACACAGAACAAAGGTATAGAGACTGATAGTGCTGACAACATAAAATTAAAGTAGTTAATTGAGAAGAAGATACAAATACCAAGTTAAAAACTGAGCAAAATTATAGCTGCCTATTAAATGGTTTTTCCTTACTTATAAATGGCTCTTTTGCAATGAGAAACAGCTATATTTATATGCCCATCTTAATTACTGTCACTAAACTCTCCTAATTATTGATAACATGACATTTTTTAAAAAATTGGTTTCTATAAATTAAAATTTTGGACACCGGAGGCTGAGTGCCAATTTCCCCTCTGTTTTTTTTTTTTCTGGGGATAAACTGGACAGAATTCCAAATCTAAGCAAACCCAAAAGCTAAGAAAGCGGAGATTCCTTTCTCTATATAACAATAATATCACCAGCTTTGGATCAGAAATGGGATCCTTCAATTATTGACTTCTTTTTAGGGGGAATCCATCCATGACCTCACTCCGACGTCAGCCGGGAATCAAAGAATGTCGCCTTCTGTACATGTTCCTTACTATTATTAGCCCCCGTTAGCCATTTTGTTCCACCGTTGACGTCGCCCTTACATTTTGGCTGAGCCCCTTCCAAGACGACCACTTTAAATTGTAAATTGTAATTTTTCTTATTACTTGTTTCAAAAATCTCCCCTCATTTCTCTTCCAATTTCCGCGTACTAAACATGTTAGTTTTGATGACTCAATAAGAGATAATGGCATCACATTATTTTCTAATTTTTCATCTAATAACACCTTTACAGATATTACTTCTAATTCTAATTATAAGACTTCATTTGCACGACCTCGTTTATAGTATAAACGAGGTCTTATAATCAGGAATGTAGTATATATATTACGAAATTGTGAAGTAAACCCCCCCATGACATGATTTGGAAGGTGGGTTAATTCTATTTTATTTTTTTTAACCAAGTTTCCCACCCAAATCCTTACAATGTACCATCTGAGTCGGAGTTATTTGGGTTTGAATTTGAATTTACACACAGTTAATCATTTTGATAGACAAGCGAAAAAATACATGGATTCAGATTTCATTAAAATTCAAATAGATTTTATCATAATAATTTCTTAGAATTTTAAATACTTACGCTGACCTCAATTACTCAATATTCTAAGTGAAAGTAAATTATTATTGCTGTTATTGGGAAAAAAAATATCACTACTGCTGCTGCTTGAGTTTTTTTTTTTTTAATTTTAACGGGGATCAAATTTGAACACACAAATATTCAAAACACACAACCACTCCGCGCATATAAACATAGGTTGGACTCGTAACTTCTTTTTCAAACAAACTGGGAGATTGGTGTCACTAAATTGGAGATTATATAACACTAATATTATTTTCAATTTTAAATATAAGATTCACTTAAAGTAGCTTGTATTATGAAATAAATGTGTAGGGTTGAGACTAGCATATCTTGTTTACCCTCAACCCTCACCAAATGAGTGTTTTTCTTTTTTCCAATTATAGCTTTGCCAACTCAATACAAATATAACGCAGCACTTTATTCCTATTTAAAAGTCACCTATATTTCAAGTCCTAAAATTAAAAAATGTATTAAATTAATAATTTTTTTTCACGTTCGTCTCTATTAAAGAAATGGTATTATAAATATTCAGGAGCAAACTTGTTTCTTGCAAATAATTTATATTTAAAAACAAATTTTTTCTGCAAATAATTTATGAATAAAAACAAAGCGACGTAGAGTTACAGGTGAGACGTAATGGAGGTCAATAGTATTAAGGCAGGACAATGCAAGTTTACCAATCTTGACAATAATACCTGAAACTAATAACTGTCAAAAGACTTGCCTCACGAAAGGCGGCGTAATGTCCTTTGTCTCCAACGTTGTTTATCTTTCCAAGTACGTGCTGAACGACTGCTGCCAGCCCAGATTTGACTTTTCTCCTAGCATGTCATCATTTCAATGGAGGAGCCGATCTTTCATTCCCTATTTAGATCACCGTCGAGCAAATTAATATGATTAATCTGAGCAAATTAATGTAGTGTTCGTGGTCATATAAAAATATCTATATTTTTCATAAATGACATTATTGCTCAGCTTAAAAATTCCACAGAACTAGGGTTTGGCATCTAATGCAGTAATTGGAAGTATACGAAAAGGGAAAAGGAACACGAACAAAGAGCTGGGGAATGGAAAGACGGCGCATGTGAATAGTGAAAAGCGAAAACGACGCATCAGCGAAATAAAGCAAAGCCTGAAAACGACAGCGCACGTAGGCGGAAACCGTAACCGTCTCAATCCGCTGCGCCCAAACCTATAATACCCAGCTAGTGTGAATCTATTATAGATCTTGCCGGGGCAATTACTTATGAATATGACGTAGTATTAATTAATAATAACATTAAATTATGAAAAAACTAGGAACAACTGTGACGTCTATGAATTTCACCGCCGTCAACCCCTCAAATCCTCTTCATTGGAAGATCGGATAGGCCCCAAACCATTTATTTATTATTTTTTTGAAAAAAGGGTCAGGATGTTTTCTTCAACTTCATCGTAGTTTTGGTATTGTATAAAGTTTGAATTATTTTTATAACTATACTGCTATTAATTTAAGTGGCGAGGGTAGTTCGGGACCTGTAAAATTAAATGGATGAAAGACACACGGGACGCCGAGTGATGCCTTCTCTGTACTTTATTACTGGCTGGACTTGCCCTGGAACTGCAAGATAAATATTGCCTGTTTCCTTTTCTTCCTTCTCTGTTTCTCTCTTTCCCTCTCTCACTCACAAGATCTTCCTTGCTTTCAAGACCAAATCTGAAAGTTGTACTGATCGTCTTTATTTATATGTAGCTGCTTCCTTGTCCTTTTCACTGGATCTCTCGTATCTCTCCTCCCCGGCTCCCGCTTTCTGCCTCTGCTCTGTTTTGCTTTTATTTAATTTCCATTGCTCTTTCAATTTTGTCCTGCCCTGCTAGGGTTCTCTTCCATTTCGGTTGCTTCCTTGGCAAGATCTTATCCCAACCCTGCTTAGGAACTAAGCTGAGAGGAAAAAAATTCTGGGATAAAGGCGGTCAATCTTTTCCGTTGTGATTCCCCCGGCTTTTGATATCGGCTCGACTTCGCCTGCTTGCCCCAAGCTATATAGTAGCAGGACGTAACGGAGTGAGGCTAGGGGAGCATTTAATGGATTCCAATTCCTTTCTCAATTATCAACACCAACGTCAGCCCAATTCTGGGTTGCTTCGTTATCGCTCTGCCCCGACTTCGGTTCTTGCAAATTTCACTCAATCCATTGGTTCTGATCTCAGTAAGGGCAATAATCTGTGGGAGACTCCTGAATCTGAGAAATTAATCTCTAGATTCGTAAATAACGACGACCTGGATTCGTCTACTTTCCAGGAATTCGAAGCCAAGGCCCCTAAAGCACCCACCGAGGCAGCGCTTAACCATATGAACTCCTATAATGGTTTGCCTCCTCACTACCCAAGGCAGAATTCCTCGGCCAGTTCTGCCATGGATAGTTCGTATGGACTGGTGGAACCATTGGGAATGGATCATCAAGCGCAGCCGAAGAGCTTCACGCCGAATCTTCTCAGGCAAAGCAGCTCCCCTGCCGGGCTTTTCTCCAACACTTCCTTTCCAAATGGTATTGTACTTTTTCTGCCTGATCTTTTCCCTTTCTGTTTTTGGTAGCCTGCTTTTCAGGTGTTTCCGAGTTTTTTTTTTTATTGCTTAAGCAATATATCTGAGGGATGCGAATTATAAATTATTGTTGCGGAGCTGAGAAGATTTTAGAATATCGGTTGCTGCATTTTTTAGGAGAAGGCCTCTTGAATATCCTATTTTGGTGACTATTAATTTATAGGCTCAGCCGAACTACCAATTGCTGCTGAGTTTAGCAGCTGCATCTAAACATTTAGCAAATTCTAGCTCATGAAATGTTAGATACAATTATGCTTTGCATTTTTGGTATTCATACCAACTTTTATGATAATTCCTTCCATTTGAAGATCTATACAGCTATGGTAGATGCAGGATGCATTGGTGTGATCCCCAACCCTGTTTCTAGTAACGTTTTCTTAAATATTAGCGAAAATTACTGAATTTATCTAAATTGCAGGATATTCCACCGTTAATGGTGTTGGAAGCTATGGTGGGGCTAATGGCAGTAACGGTGAGGGGAGCCCATCCATGAGCAGATTGAAGAATCAGTTTGGCTTCTTATCAAGAAGGAATTCTTCTTTAGGAGTGTTGTCACAGATATCTGAGATAGAGGGTGAGAGCATTGAAGCAACCAACCCTGACAATGGGGGCTTGGGATCTGTGAATGGTTATGGCCCTGGGTTTCCGTACAGTTCCTGGAATGATGCGTCCCATCTCGGGGGCTTGAAAAGGGAGCCAAGTAACAGCGAAAAATTATTTTCTAATGCTCAGGTATAGCAATGTTGTTTATCTTTTTCTTTCATTTTTTGCCCTTTTGCTTTTTACCAGTTTTATTCTTCAGTGCTTGTTCTTGACGCAAATAAGTTGTGGTGCTCAGAATGGACCGCTAGGAAATCGGGTTCACATGTTATCTCATCACTTGAGTTTGCCAAAACCTTCAGCAGATATGGGTGCCATGGAGAAGTTTCTTCAATTGCCAGATGCCGTTCCTTGTAAAATCAGAGCAAAGCGAGGATGTGCTACCCATCCTCGAAGTATTGCAGAAAGGGTAAGTATTGTGTCGCTGTTGCCATACAGTAAATGGAGTTTGCAAACATTCTTTGGAATATTTTGAATTCATGAGTTGTTTCGTAAAATATGATTCTAAGAATGAACTGTTTTCTAGGTAAGAAGAACTCGGATCAGTGAACGAATGAGAAAACTTCAAGAGCTGGTCCCAAACATGGACAAGGTAACCCAGATATAATTAGACGTCTGAATCTGACCCTGGAACGTAGTTATTGTTGTTATGAAAGTCTTTGAGTTGAATTCCATATGCTTGTCTTTGGCAGCAAACAAACACAGCAGACATGTTGGACCTGGCTGTTGAGTACATTAAAGATCTCCAGAAACAATTCAAGGTATAGATGCACATGGAGAATTTAATTGGATTGCCCATGGTTATGAATGACCTGTTCTCATTAATTTGCTCTCCGATTTGTTACCTCTTTCTGCAGACTCTCAGTGAGAAAAAGGCAAACTGCAAATGTATGAGCACGCAGAATGCAGATTCAAATCATGTCGTTTGAGTTGCTGCTGGGTCAACGAGGGATAAAGATAGAGTCGTGGGTTATATCTTGCTCACAGAAAATTAAGTAGGAAATTGATGCATGAGATACTTTTTAATATCTTTATTGCACGCGATGCGGAGTTCGCTGCCCTTCGCCACAATATTTAGGTTCTTTCAAGCTAACATGGGCTTTCAATTACAGAGTCAATAAAGGAAATAGTTAATATTTGTAATTTTGTATAGCAGAATTGTAATAATGTATTTCATTCGATATTTATTATCTCAAAAAAAGAGTAATTTACAATCCTTTTTTTTGTCAAGAAAATATATCTTTCGAATAAAAATAGACCCGTTTCTTCTTTCTTCTTCTTCTTTTTTTCCCCCTGAAAGTTAGTCTCCTTTCGGTGAACTGTTGCGGCGTAAGTGAGATACGGATGGGAATCGCCATTTAATTCATATACAGCATTTTTCAATTTTTTTGAAGTTGTCAATGGAGCGATGGGTTTTTTAATTGACATCGCCCTCCAAAACTTCGCCGAGCCTGCGCACAGATCAAGGAAAAAGACCGCCCACCCCACCTTTCTTCCCGCTTTCTATTTTTAAAGGGGCCCAACCCAAGTAATTTATGCCAGCTTTGTTCTACTATTTCTTCTTGTATTTTTGTTAATAATTTTAATTTTAGTTCAGCGGGTTTCAAATCATGAATTTTTATCTTTCAGGAGACAAAATAATTCAAATTTTTATTAAATTATAGATTTCAGTATTTTAGATAAAAATAAATTTAACGAGTCAAAACCATAATAAAAACAAATTTAAAGCAACAAAAATCATACTACCTCCGATCCTTAATATAAGATCTCTTTTGACTTTTATTTTAATCATAAATATAAAATCTCAATTCACTTTATCTTTAATATTTATTCATTTTTTTCAAACTAGTTTTTTTAATAATAGTAGTTATAGTCAATAAACTTGATTAGTAAGAATATTTTAGAAAGACAATACTTATTTATTACAAATAACTAATTTAACTTATTTTTTTAATCTACTCAAATTACTCGTCTGGTTCTTATATTTAGGACGTTAGGTAATACTAAGCAAAGAAAAGAAAATGTGAGTCTGCCGCCCGCCCTGAATTCTCTATTGTCTGCCTGACCCTCGATAATTTTCCTTGTGCGGGTTCTCCCTTATTTTATTTTCGAATATGTATAAAACACTGAGATATATACAACAACTTAAAATATTGCTAATTTTCTAATATTTAAATTTTGTTAAAATTCATTGAAAAAATTTCGAAAATATATAGGAGGATAAAAAAAATTAAAAATAAGCAGAACCTAATAAAATATAGGTAAAGAGAAATTGGAAGATTAGATAAATTGCATAAACCATTAAAAATTAATATAATTTATTGACAATATAATTTTCCATAAATTTTATATATCATATGAATATGTTGGCTTTAAAACGAGCCAGTCGTGTCGAGATAAATGGCAACTACTACTTAATAATTAGTAATAAAATAATATGAAAACCTGCCGTGCTTAAGAAATATAAATAGATCGCTATCAATCACTCATTATAAAAAACCGAAATTATATAACAAAAATTGGCATAATCAACAATAATGTGAATTATTACCTCTCATCCTAAATATAGGAGTTATTTGATTAATTTAAGTAGATTAAGAAAATTTAACTAAAAAAAAAAGTAGATTAAAAAAGAAAGTTAAGTTAGTTATTTGTAATAAATATGTGTTGTCTTTTTTAAAATATTCCTGCTAATTAAGTGTATTGGTTAAAACTACTATTATTAAAAAAATTGTTTTTTTAAATATATAAACATAAAAAATAAATTAGGCTAAGATTTTATATTTATAATTAAAATTAAAATAAAATAAAGTTTTATATTGAAAATCAGAGTTACTATTAGAATTGAGGAAATGGTAGGACTAGGAGACACTTTAATTTTCTGGTTAGTTATGGCCTTAATGGGCGTGGGGGCACCGGCTCCGCACTCTGATGACTGATCGTCTCGTTCCCGCAAAATGTCGTTAAACACCAATAGGTCCCACCACACCGGGCGTCGTTACTCGTTACTTCCCTGACTTCCCCTGCCTCTTCTTCTCGCCTCCGATTTGCCTTCTTCCAACTTCTTTGATCTTTCCTCCCAGACCCTAGCCCTGTTTTTCGTCCTCACTCCCTCTGACTCTCTTTCTCTTCCCCATCTAGGTCCCCTCCCCCTCCTTTCTTTTCTTTTCTCTTATGTCATAGATCAGTCAGCGATCGGAGCTCTGATCGTAGGAGGCCCCTACGATAACCATTTCATCTTCGATTCTGTGGTTTTATAAGGTGGAATTGAGGGGGCAATCCATTGGGATTTATTGCGGCGAGAATGTCGAATTTGTACGGCGATTACAATCAAAAGATTGATTATGTATTCAAAGTGGTCTTGATCGGCGATTCTGCAGTGGGAAAAACTCAGCTGCTCGCACGTTTTGCACGGAATGAATTCAGCCTCGATTCCAAGGCCACTATCGGGGTTGAATTCCAGACCAAAACGCTCATCATTGATTCCAAAACCGTGAAGGCACAGATTTGGGATACAGCAGGCCAAGAGAGGTTGGCCTTGTTGACTCTTTCGATTTCATAACTTCTTCTGCGTTTCCCTGATTTCTCTCAGACCGTAGATATTTTGGAAATTACAATTGAACTAGCCATGGTTTCTTGGCGTATTTATTTAAAAATGTGTTCGCTCTTATGGCTCGAACGATTTTTATCTGAACAAATCATCGTTGGTTGGTTGAGTGCGGAAAAATTAATGGATTATTCTTTACGAGTCAATAAGAGAAAAGATAGAGTGGGGATAAAGGTTCTGCAGTTCCTTTTTACCAGGCAAGTAGGATAAGCCATCTTTTGAACATAATAGGAACTCTTTTCTCCTATGATTTACTCTTCTTTCCTTTTCTTTCATTCTTTCCTAGATCTTAGATGAATTCATACTACACTGTTCTGGTGGTTGCTGGGCGAAGTGTTAAGGCAAAAGTAGCATGTTTTTTTCATATATATAACCGAGCCTAGAAGCTCTTTGTTGATTGGTTTTTTCTGTGTCCTAGGATTGATATATAGAGACTGTAGGAGGATCCAGAAAGCTTGGGTGATGGCGATTCCACAATTAGTAATGACAATGAATTATATGATCGCTATTTGCTTGTTTGCAATGCAGCTTTCCTTGTGAAGAGAACAAAATAAAGCAGCATCTGCTTTTTTATGTTGTCAGGGATGCTTTGAGCCTTCGTGGAGCTTGTTTCAAAGATTGATATGGTTTTCTCGTTTATAACACCAACCAATTTATTTTCTTAGGAAGAAATATATGAAACAAAATATGATTGCGACAGAAACCCTGAAGATTCATACATATACGTTATTTCCTATTTTAGTGCATACGAGTTGTTTATTTGATTGATTCTTTTTGGGTTTCAGTATCGAGGCAATTGGCTTGTTGTCATGGTTGCATTTTATTTTTGTGTGCAGTGATACAATCATACTCGTGGCTTAATCATGTGTGAAGTTATTCTATTTTTCCACTTAGAAATATAGATGATAATTGTACAAAGTGTACATATGGAAAGCATGCTTTTGTGGTCACTAGTTATTATCCAGTATCATGATCCATGATTATTGTATTGTCAAGCAGGAAGGTCTAGGTTGTTTGGAGGATCATGATGTGATTGATATTTGATGGAACAGTGATAGTAAGATTTGACTTTATATTGTTAACAATTGATTGGTCTTTTGGATTGTTTAAGATAGTTATCTGCAAGTCATGTGTTATTCATCCCTCTCTTTGTTGTAGAGGTTGCTGTAAAGGAAAATACTTTAAACAACCTCTCGCAATCAACCTCTTGTTTTGGATTAATATTAATTTGTAGAGTCAAACGATTAATTCAGAAGCGAAATTTTGATTTGAATTGGATTTTCTGAATTTTTTTAATTGAAGTGCTTCATTAAACAAACCCAAATATTGACCTTGTGAAAATCTTAAAGCAACATTTTGTTTGGACGTATAGGTTGCTATTAGCCTTAGTTTGGTTTTGTTTTCTTCATGTTAAGTTTGCTTTGAAGTTTGAACAAATATATCTACTTGGATTTGACCTGGGATTACAAGATTTGTATTGCTTGAAACTTTATCTACTATAATAAACTATAATAACATCTGACGTTTATTGATTATTGTTTGCTTCAGGTACAGAGCCGTTACTAGTGCATACTACAGAGGCGCTGTTGGGGCAATGTTGGTATATGACATGACAAAGCGTCAATCGTTTGATCACATGGCCAGATGGTTAGAGGAGCTGAGGGGCCATGCGGACAAAAACATAGTGATTATGCTAATAGGCAATAAATGTGATCTGGGAACCCTTAGAGCAGTGCCAACTGAAGACGCAGAAGAGTTTGCGCAGAGAGAGAACCTGTTCTTTATGGAGACATCAGCACTAGAGTCTACCAACGTAGAAACTGCTTTTCTGACCATCTTGACAGAGATATACCGAATAATAAGGAGGAACACACTAACTTCCAATGATGAGGGAGAGTCGAGTGGTTCAGGGTTGTTGACGGGAACTAGGATTATTGTTCCCGCCCAAGAGCCTGAAGCTGGAAAGAAGGGTTGCTGCTTTGGGGCCTAGCTTTACTTGTCGCAAGTTACTCGTCACATCTTTGTACTTTGTAGAGAGGCTACGCATGGTTCTCGCTCAGGGTTTTATGTTGCCTTTATGTCATTCTTTCTTCCCTTTTTTTTTTCTTATTTGTTTTTTTTTTGAACTTGTTAGGATTTAAATTTGTCAATACAAATTTTCATGAGATGAGATGTTTGAACGAACGCTTCGAACTTCAATGTTACATGGATACTTAGGATTGAATATTGTACAACTTACCCCAGGTATACTCACTTGTGACACATGTAGTGGATCATAGTTTCAATCTTCCAGGTTAGGTGTTCTCTCAAATCTTATATGTTACATGTGCTTCATAATCAAACACATGGAGGCAATATTTGTATCACCATGCTAGAAGTGGCGCCGTGGGTCCTCAAATATCACCGCAGCGCCTCTAGATTTTTATTTTTTAAATTTTCATATTGTTGAAATCCACACTCAGTTATCAACTTATTCAAATGCTCACTGTACTCAAGAACGTCAGTGAAAGCCAGAGTCTTGTTCACAACCCTTCTAATGAGGTGGGTTGTGTGATGAAACCCTCAAACGATACGAGGGTGGGTGTATGTGGGTTCCTTCTCTTATGGGAAGAGGGGAAAGGTTAGGATAGAGGGGAAAATATCAAGGAAAGGCTTTTCTGTCTCTATATCCTCAGTTAAATCCTTTTTCTCCCCATTTTTACTGTTCATTTTAAGTGCAAACACCCGCGTAACAAATAGTGACAAAAAAAAAAAAACTGACATGCACTGATGACTTCCACAATATACCAAAAAATAGCACGGTGCTGCCGATAAAAAAACATAGGGAATCATCAAGTTAATTACGTTTACAATTATAACTTTTTAATGTTAATTTTTTTATACAGATGTTATTTTTCACCTCGGCATGATCATAGTAATTAATCATTTAATTATTAAATTAAATGTTTTTATTTTATGATCATAACTCTACACCGGTGCCGAATTAGCTATTGGTTACTAGAAATTGGTGCTCAATGTTATCAGAAGATCTTGGCGTTCCAGTTTAATTTGAGCTATCCATATTTAAAATTTTTAAATCATACATATCAACAATTAATTTCTTTAATCGCAGTGATGATTAAAAAATCAGCTCTCTCTGAAATTCTCGATCTCTCAAAACAAAATTATAAAAATAAATGAATCTCGAGGGGTTAGTTGTAATACGGATGCCCAGATTCGACGCCAAAATGCAGTCCTACAAACCGGAGATGATAAATGCAAAAAGAAGGGGAGACAGATCGGAATTGGACGACAAGAGGATATTATATTCGGAGGTCCGAATCTGACAGATACTGAGATACCGTAAAGCCAAGCCCAAAGAAGAATTTGATTTGAATGTTGTCCCGCCTTTCGGCTAATTTGAAAGGGGAAGCACGCTCCCGCACGTGCGGAGGTTTTGGTTTCAGTCTCATCTTTAAAGACCGCCCATTTTTCATTTTCAAAATTTGCCCACTTCGTTTCTCCCTCAAAGCAACCTTTTCCTCCGTCTTCATTTCTTAACGCGCACAGACACATTTATGCTTCTCCATCATCCGTTTTGAAGGTAACTCTTTCTCTACTCACGTTCCTTTTAGCTCCCTCCTCTTCCATTTCGTTGCTCCTGCATTTTTTTTTTCCGCCGATCGATCCGTCTGTATTCCACTGTGCAGCATCGCAGTCTTCCTGCGTTTCGTTATTGGTCACCCAAAATAATAGGATTGTCTTCTTTGCGTGAAGTTATTATTCTCGGTTCTCCAAACAAAATAACTAACGCTCTAGTTTTTTTTTTTTTTTTGGTGATGCTTAGGTATGCCGGAATCAAGAGACAGGTTGTCAAGACCCCTTGACATTGCAGCAGTATTTGCTCGCCGGCGAGCTAGTATCTTTGGTACTCTTGACGATGAGTTGGAGTCAGCTTTATTCGGTCCCATCGCAAGGCGACAAACCACTACCTCGACGAATGACAGCGGAAGGGGCCGTTTCGGATCGCCAAGAACCGTAATTGGGCGCGGGCGTGCACGTGGACTAAATCTTTACAGGTCACCCGCCAGGGGTGTGGAGAACACTCCGCCGGGATCCGCACGGCGGGGGAGGGGACGACGTTGGCGGAGTCATCTACCTTCTTGGTACCCAAGAACTCCTCTGCGAGACATCACTGCGGTTACGAGGGTAAAGAACACTTTCTGTGGCTTGTTGTTTTTATGTCTTTCTTAATCTGAATTTGGCTTTTCTTGCCATGCTAGAACATCGTTATATTTGGTGGTATCTGATTTTTATCGTAAAAAAATATGTTCACAAGAAGAACAGGGTATATCAAACTCGTGAATAGTTTTCCCTCTACTTTTAACTTGCTCTTTTTGACTGAGTGCTTTTGATTAATAATTATTTTTTGAATGACATGACATGCTGATTCTTGTGCTCAGTTATTTTTTGTGGAAAAATGTAAATATTCATGTGTTTGAAGTTTTCTTGAATGTTTTGTGTTTTATTATGATTTAGTCCTCGTCATGAACCCAATGATACTTTACTTTCTTCTAAAGATCATCTTTAGCCACGCATGAATCGCTGCAAGCCAGTGCCGGGAACTGCATTTGGTCTTGACGTGCCCATTACTTGGAAACCCACAAGGACATGTCATATAATGGGAATTTCCGTGCTCACCATATGATGGGTCGTGTAATACACACAATCAAGGAGCTAGTAGGACTATTTTCATGTTTATTGCATTTTGAGGCGTACCACTTGTTGTCCATATAGCGGTTTTGAGGCATTCTACTTGAATTTGGAGATTTTGTAAACTTTGTACTGCTAATTTCCATCAGGCAATCGAGAGGAGGAGAGATCGCTTGGGAGATAACGAGGGCCAACAAATTGAGGGTCCAAATCTTTCAGATCAGTTGCTTTCTGACCCTTCCACTTTAGATTCTAGTCCTCAACTCGAGCTTGGGACATCAGCGAACTCTTCAAGTGCAGCTGTCGGTGTTAAACTCCAAACACCTGCTGCCAGTAAAATGCCACTGATTTTACTTGATATTACAAGCAAGTCAGAAGGAGAATCAGAACTTCTAACGCCTCCTAAGCAACTTCTTAACTCTATTGACAAAGTTGAGAAAGTTGTGAGGGAGGAGTTACAGAAATTCAGGAGAACACCCACAGCAAAGAAGGCAGAGAGAGAAAAAAGAGTTCGTACATTGATGTCCATGCGCTGATTTTTGAAGTATATAACACTTAAATTTGGAGTTAGGACTGCATAGATAGCTGAAATTGGAAGAGAAGGCCAGGGAACCTATCTGCGAATCATCATCTGATGATATCCTCAAATTAGTTGTTTCATAAGCTAACATCTGGTTCTCGGTTTGCTTTTATCAGTTACTTGAAGTTGGGTTTATTAGGTGTCAAGGAACTTTGCTCTTACTTTTAGCCGAACGTCTTGGAGCAGGACAAGTAAGCATGTTAATGTGTTCTGGAGATTGTTTGATTAATGATAGTAGTAAGCATATTGACCCCTTGTGCATAGTAGTGATAGGGGTAGTTTCAGTTGTACTCATGGATATTATATTTCTCCTACCGGTTACCAAGCATGATGGCAAAATTTTAATTCGCACGAAGTTCTTTCCAGAGCTTGTTTTCTGTTGCTGTGACACTATCGATATTCATTTCCCGCCTAGGGTGCAATGGTTTGAGGTTGCTTATTCTGTGGACAGCTTCTCTGTTGCAGAGAATTGCAGTTGCTAGAGGATACAAACTGGTTTCTTGCAATCTGAGAACATAAAAATGCCCCGAACTATAGCAACCCAATATAAGGTTGCATGGCAATCAAGTCATGAAGGATCCCCAAATTAGCATTAGTTTTTGTTAAAAGGATTGAACTTTCAAGTTTCAACACTGGTAACCAGTTAATGATAATGCTCATAGGGTTAACAGGGTCAACATTTTTTTTCCAGGCATATATAAAGAATGATATCGATGCCATAAATTCCATTCTATTTTATCCTAGCCATCCCCTCTTCTATTCCTTCAAAGATCCCTTCAACATATCAAAAGAGATTCTAAGAGAAAATGAACCCCAGAAGCATAACTGATAAAACTTACTAATGAAAAATCAGTTACAATCAGAACTTTCTAAAATTATGAGAAAACCTTAAAAAAAAAAAAAAGGTCCATTGACGTAGTACTTCCAAAATATAAAATAAGCCTTTTGACAATTATTATTGTGCGAAAGAATCTGCTTCATTCATAAAATTTAAGATCTCCAAATAGATGATTTGTATTTATTCAGAGTTCGTGCGACGCAATAGACAGAGGTCAGGCTCTCGTTAATTTATCTTATACTCTCTCCGTTCCTTATTATAAGAGACAAATAACCGAAGTATGTTGATCAAAAAAACAGTTAAAATTAGTTAAGAACAATTAATGTGTAAAAAGTATAATTTTTTTTCCAAAAATGCCCTTATTAATAAGGAGAGAGAACATGAGAGAAAACAATTAAATTATTAAAAGAAAGAGAAGTGGGAGGGAGAGAGAGTGTGAGTTGGAGATAATAAATATGGGTAAAATAGTAAATCAACACCAAAAAGTAGAGACAACTTGTAAGTGTCTCTTATATATAGGAACATGCCATAAGCATCAAATGTCTTTTATAATAAGGAACGGAGAGAGTATAACAGTTAGTGTCGTTTTACGATGGAGGACAAGTTTGTTAATATTCCTCCGATGAAGCCTGACCTCTGTCTGGACGATTGTGAGATAGTGAGCAGAGATAGTATGATAATTCGAAGCCGAGAATCGCTTTTCACATAATGGATGAGGAAATAGCAGACCCCTTGATGTCATCATGAATAAGAACGACCATAAAAAAGCTGAGAGATTTTGCTTTCGAAAATGACATCATTCTACTACTCATTCAAACATGTCATATTCTGATATTCTCGTGCGGGCCGAAAGAAAGGTATCTCCTAGCAATCACCCAAACCTTCTTATTCTTTTAGCATCGAATTGTTAATAACTTAATGCATTATGCATTAGCCCTCCAACTTAACCTCTGAACTCAAAACTACACAACCCTATTCTCTGGCCAAATAATCCAACCGTGGCTGCCCTTACTAATAGCATCTTGTTCTACAGTATAAGCTGCTTAGTGCTGCTCATCTGCACTATGCTTTTCACTGTCAGGTCCTTTAGCGTTCAACTCCTGAATTCTGGCACCAAACATCGAAACCCACCGAGCCCACCGGCTCTGCCCATCATCGGCCACCTTCACCTTGTTGGCTCAGTCATTCCCAAATCTTTCCAGAACCTGGCTCGTATTTATGGCCCTCATGCAGCTTCGTTTAGGGGCATCCAAAACCTTAATTGTGTCCAATGCCCAAGTTGCTGGCGAAGTTTTCAACACCTATGAACTCAACTTTTCTAATCGCCCAGAGTTTGGATCCTCCGATTAGTGCCCCTACAGAGGCTCCTATTTCGCCATTGCCCCGGATGGCCCTTATTGGCGTTTCATGAAGAAACTATGCATCAACCCACTCCTCTCAGCCTCCCAGCTCGGTCGCTTCACTCTCAGTGTCAGTGTCGGCCCAGCAGAGTGCTTTCGCCGTTGGTGTTCTTTCCGATCTCTACGCATTTCACCGCTCCACCGGAAATTCCCTCTGCCCCTACCGTACTCCAGCTTGGTAGTTTCCACCGCCTGTCCAGGGTTGAGCCCTGGGATTTGACGGCTTATGTCAGAGACCAGGAGATCAAAAGCCTCTTGGGTTCTCTTCTGCAGTATTCTAGAGAAGCCAAAGCCTGTGACTTGAGCTTAAAGGTCACCGCTTTGACCAACAATATCTGATGTCGGACGGCTATGAGCACCACCTGTGATGTTGAGCACGCCTACGGGCTGGTTCATGATTGCCGGGAATTAGCAGCTAAGCTTAGCTTAATTGAAGTTTTGGGACCTCTTGCAAAATTTGACTTATTTGGGTACGGAAAAAAGGCGGCAAAAGTTAAGGGTGAGTTCGATCAAATACTGGAGACGATCATGAGAGAGCATGAGGAGAAACTTCGTCATAAGACTTGTGACGTAGAAGAGAGGAAAGACATGATGGACATACTATTACAAGTTTATAGAGATCCAAATGCCGAAGTGAAGCTAAAAAGAAAGGACCTTAAGGCTTTCTTTCCAGTAAGTTTCATTTCCTCCCTATAATCTCTCTCTCTCTCTCTCTCTCTCTCTCACTCTGTAGCCTTCTTCTCTTGACGTATATATAGTTGTTTGATAAATATTCATGTTATATGGAAGGAAATGTTCCTAGGAGGCACGGACGCAACTTCAGTGGCGGTGCAGTGGGCAATGGCAGAGGTCATAAACCACCCAAGAGTGTTGAAGAAACTAAGGGAAGAGATGGACTCAACTGTGGGGTCTAGAAGATTAGTCAAAGAAAGTGCGTTCCAAATCTGCCGTACCTGAGAGCTGTTGTGAAGGAAGTTCTGAGACTCCATCCTACAGCAAGCTTTGCACTCAGGCAATCTGTAGAAGATTGCAACATCAACGGCTACCATATCAAGGGACAAACCAGGACCCAAGCCAACGCCTACGCGATTATGAGGGACCCACAAGTGTGGGTCAATCCAGAGGAGTTCATGCCAGAGAGGTTCTTCGGTGGAAATCTGATGGATATGAACGGCCAAGATCTGAGATATGTTCCATTTGGGAGTGGAAGAAGGGGATGTCCTGGGGCTTCTCTTGCTTTGACTGTGGTGCATTCGACCATGGCTACTCTGATTCAATGCTTTGATTGGAAAGTGAAAGGTGGCACCAAGGTTGATGCCACAGAAGGGTCAGGATTCTCTGTGGGTTTGGCCAAACCACTCGTTTGTTACCCTATTACCCGTCTTGGTCTGTTTTCGGTTTAATATATTCGTAGACATCGAGGTTGGGGGATTCACTTCCTTGTGGTTTGTCCTTTGCATCTTAACTGCAATTCAAGAAAGAAATACTCTTCCAGTCTTTTAACATAAAACTTAATTGTTGAGTTAATTTTAGTCTTAAATATAAGACTTGTTTATCATATTTATCAATTTTTTTCTAAATTATCCTTGTAGATATTCTCTCAACCATAACTAAGTAGAAGAGAAACAGAGGATATTAAGAAAATGATTATGCTGTTTTAAAAAATGTTATATTTCTTATAATTAAATAATTTATCTAACTTTTTTAATTTAATTAAATTAATTAAATAAATCTTATATTAAGAATCGGAGTAGTTGTTTTTATGCATGAGATAGCCGATTGGTGATGCCTTTCTATGAGATCTGTCAGAAATCTGTCCGCGTTCTGAGTAAAACACAGTTCTGTATGGGCATGTATTTCATAGATAAAAAATGTTTTGTAAATGGAAATCTTATAGCATACAAAATAAGTATATGAAAAACAAAATTTATTTTAATTTGTCTAAAAACACTTTTAAAAAGTATTTTTGAGGGTGGTAATAATTAATTAAGAGCTCGAGCTCATTTTTTTTAGTGTATTCTGTTGAAAACAAGACATTAATTGCTATTGTTCGTTAGTGGAGCATGAACTTTAAAATAAAATAACACTTAAAATCCGAAACATTTGAATTAAAACATAAAATTAACATTTAAATAAACAGAAAACTGGCCACTTTAGTCCCTATGATTTATCTCAGATTTTAAATCAGTCCATGTACTTTAAAATTTTATAATCAGCTGAGTATAAAATTAATATTGAAAATCCTTATAGTTTATAATGGTTTTTAATTGGTTCATTATTTAGCCTTGACGCTCATGGTAATAGTGTTTTAGTGTTGTGAAGAGTTTTTAATTTAGATTTTATATCTATAGAAATATAAGAAAATTAAAAATAAAATAAATAATATTCCTTAATGTAAAACCTAATTGGAGAGTTGATGTTAATCTTATATGTAAGGCCTATTTCATATATTTTTAATTTTTTTAAAATTAACTCTATTGATATTTTTAAAAAAATAATCAAGTAAGAGAGGGAAGAAGAGAATTAAGAAATATAGATAGGATTTTTTTTTAAAAAAATCACATTAACTAATTTAACTAACATTTTTAATCAATTCAAATTAGTTAATTAGATCTTATATTAAGGGTCGGAGAAGTATTAAATTTATATTATTTAATTTTAATTTAAATGGACCAGATTTGGTGATGAGCAATGAAACTCAAATAAGATGGCAACTGTGCTCTGATGATGTTAATTTGCTGGTGAGTGGCGAATACTTGTTTTATTTTTTAATCCATTTCCTCTCGTACCCACTAATAGTTCTGGCGTCACATCGTAGGAATGCTAGGGCTATAATAATTAATGTATTGGGAGAATTATAACAAAAAGCCTAAAAATATTAAATTGTAATTAAAAAATTTCTATAGAAATGTGTTAAAACATAATATCTCGAATCAGATTGTTTTGAATAAGAAAACACTTATATATACCTATTAAAAAAACAATAAATGTTAGCCACACAACTGTACAATCATCGAAAGCATGAGATGCTATGATTTGATTTTGTTTGTAATTTCAAGTCATTGATGTTTGTCTCTTTAATTAAAAAAAAAAAGAATTAGTCATAAATATTATTTTTTAATAAAATCCTAACCAAAGGCGACAAGTCATGAATATTATTCATATACTATGCGCCTTTGTCTGGTTTTGGTTTTACCGGTACCGGATATCACTATGTTTTTCCGCCATGCATATTGGACCACTTGATTGATAAATTGAAGATCTTCAAATAGATACGTAGTTTGGGATGTAACAAAAAAAAAAAAAGAGATGTAGTTTGGGTTTTTTAATTAAAAAAAAACCTGTCGGTCTGTTATTAATTTATTTTACTTATACAATACTACATTCAATCTTTAATACTACCTCCGGTCCTAATTATAAGACCCAGTTGACTTATTTGAGGAGATTAAGAAAGTAAGTTAAGTTAGTTATTTGTAATAAATAAGTGTTGTTATTCCTAAAATATCCTTGCTAATTAAGTGTATAAGACTTTGTTTGACTTTTATTTTTATTCTAAATATAAGACCTCAATCCACTTTATCTTTCATATTTATATATTTTTTTCAAAGTAGTTTTTCTAATAATAATAGTTATAGCCAGTATATTTAATTGGTAAGAATATTTTAGAAAAAATAATACTTATTTATTATAAATAACTAATTTAACTTATTTTTTTAATCTTTTTAAATTAGTCAACTAATTTTTATATTTAAGACGGGAAGTAGTAATTAGTATCGCCTTTTAATTTTGACGAAGGACAAGTTTGTTTATACTCGTCCTGTGAAGTCTGGATGATTGTGAGATGGTGTGCAGATACAGTTTGATAATTCGCAGCCAAGGACCACTTTTCACATAATTGAGGACAAATAGCGGACCCCTCGATGTCATGTCATCATGAATAAGAACGACCACAGAAAAGCTGAGAGATTTCGCTTCAAAATATGACATCATTAGAGCATGAAATTGTCAATGCATTATAAATAAGCCCTCCATCTTAACTTTTGAACTCCAAACTACACCCAGCCTTATTTTCTGGCCAAATAATCCAACCATGGCTGCCATTACCGGTAGCATTTTGTTCTACAGCATGAGCTGCTTGGTGTTGCTGATCTGCACTATGCTTTTCATTGCCAAGTCCTTTAGCGTTCAAGTCCTGAATTCTGGCACCAAACCTCGAACCCCACCGAGCCCACCGGCTCTACCCGTCATCGGCCACCTTCACCTTGTTGGCTCTGTCATTCCCAAATCTTTCCAGAACCTGGCTCGTCTTTATGGCCCTCTCATGCAGCTTCGTTTAGGAGCATCCAAAACCTTAATTGTGTCCAATGCCCAGGTTGCCGGCGAAGTATACAAAACCCACGAACTCAACTTTTGTTATCGCCCAGAGTTTGGATCCTCTGATCATGACACCTACACAGGCTCTTATTTCATCACTGCCCCTTATGGCCTTTATTGGCGTTTCATGAAGAAACTCTGCGTCACCCAACTCCTCTCAACCTCCCAGCTCGGTCGCTTTACTCATGTCAGAGACCAGGAGGTCAAGAACCTGTTGGATTCTCTTCTGCAGTGTTCTAGAGAAGCCAAAGCTTGCGATTTGAGCTTAAAACTCACTTCTTTGACCAACAATATCTTATGTCGGACGGCTATGAGCACCACTTGCGATGCTGAGCACATTTACAGGCTGGTTCGTGGATGCTTGGAGTTAGGAGCTAAGCTAAGCTTAGGGGAAGTTTTGGGACCTCTTGCAAAGTTCGACTTATTTGGGTACGGAAGAAAGGTGGCGAAAGTTAAGGGCGAGCTTGATCAAATACTGGAAACGATCATGGAAGAGCATGAGAAGGAACTTAGTCATAAGACTTGTGAAGAAGAAGAGAGGAAAGACATGATGGACATATTATTACAAGTGTATAAAGATCCAAATGCTGAGGTGAAGCTAAAAAGAAACGACCTCAAGGCTTTCTTTCTAGTAAGTTTCATTTTTCCCCCGTGTATCTCTCTCCCGCACTTCCTAGACGTATATATACAGTTGTTTGATAAATATATTCATGTTATATGGAAGGAAATACTCCTAGCAGGCACGGACACAACTTCAGTGGCTCTGCAGTGGGCAATGGCAGAGATAATAAACCACCCCGGAGTGTTGAATAGACTGAGGGAAGAGATGGACTCAATGGTAGGGACAAGAAGATTAGTCAAAGAAAGTGATGTTCCAAATCTGCCATACCTGAGAGCTGTTGTGAAGGAAGTTCTGAGACTCCATCCTTCAGCACCCTTTGCTCTCAGGCAATCTGCAGAAGATTGCAGCATCAACGGCTACGATGTCAAGGGACAAACCAGGACCCTAGTCAACGTCTACGCTATCATGAGGGACCCACAAGTGTGGCCCAACCCAGAGGAGTTCTTGCCAGAGAGGTTCTTGGAGGGAAATGCGATGGAAATGAAGGGTCAAGATCTGAGTTATGTTCCATTTGGGAGTGGAAGGAGGGGATGTCCTGGGGCTTCTTTTGCTTTGACAGTGATGCATTCTACCATAGCTGCTCTGATTCAATGCTTTGATTGGAAAGTGAAAGGTGGCACCAAGGTTGATACCACAGAAGGGTCAGGATTCTCTGTGGGTTTGGCAAAGCCACTCGTTTGTTACCCTATTACTCGTCTTGATCTTTTTTCTGTTTAATTATTCGTACAATAAGGTTAAAAGGTTTTTACTTCCTTATCGTTTGTCCTTTATATCTTAACTGCAATTTAAGGAAGAAATAGAGCTTTTTGTGTATATGATAGCTGATTGGAGATGCCCTTCAGTGAGAACTGCACAGAATCTCCCCAGATTCTGAGTAAAACGCAATTCTCTGTTTTTTAGTATTTCACTTCTTTCATAGATAAAAATCGTTTCGTATCAAATCAACTTATTTTCGCCCTTCAAAACGACGATAATTTATTAAGAGTCCCTTTGCTTCCATTATTGAGTATATTCCGTTGAAAATAAGACATTCCATTAGTCGACAATATACTTGGAAAGCGACAAATGACAATCTCGTGGCTAAGTACCTTTGAAAATGAAAAAAGAAACACTTAAATTGGAACATTTAAATTAGAACATAAAAGTACCAATTAAATAAAGCGAAAAACTAATTTTTAGTTCCCATGATTTATAGAAAATTTTAGATCAATCCATGTACATTAAAATTTTATGATCCTCTCAACATAAAATTAAAATTGAAAATCTTTTTGATTCGTAATGGTTTTTAATCGGGACTAGATCTAATTATATCAACTAATTAAACTCATTATGGGCCTGTGGCACAAAAAGACTTAATTGTTGGTTTTTCTAAAACCCAGCTTGAAACTGAGTGCCAACCATATTATAACTGATAAATGTGTTTTAATAACTTATTATTGAATTTAAATATGTTATTTTATTTTGGTGATAAAATATGTTATCTTTTTAAGCAGATAATTTAGGCACTTCATTTAAATTATTAGAATAGTCATAAAATTTGTCATACTCATAGGCAACGCAAACAGACAAAATTTTCAATGCTCAGAAAGTAGTAATGTCCTGCTAATAATTGATATGAATGAATAAGCACATGAACCATGACGATTTCCTAATCCCTAGGACCAGTCCACACAGGGAAAACAACCGATGTTAGCCTTACCATCGTACAATTATTGAAAGTATAATATATGTGTGTAAATAAATGAATCAGTCATGAATATTATTTTTTGTTTCAAAAAAATGTTGATCAAACATTACACATCATAGCATTTAAAAGCCTTAATTTTTTTAGGGAGCATTACAATGAGGTTCCAAGTAAAAAAAATAATTAAAAGAAGTCTCAGAGGTTGTCATTCTCATTATAAGACTTGTTATTATAGGCTGTTGAAATTGTTATTAGGATCTTTTGGTAATTATTTCTTTTTTATGAAACTTGACTGTAATTCTCCCATTTTTTTATCTAGTTTTGCTTGGTTTTACCGGCTATCACATCAACATATGTATATCACTACGGTTTTCCTCCATACATGTTGGACCACTTGCCGTCAACATAATTAGATTATGTAAGAAGGACAATGATTAATCTAAATTAACGAGCTTGCTCTCGAATTAAGCTTTCATAATCCTGGGACCAGTGTGAAAGAAGTTAAATATATAATTGCACCCTGGTACAATAAACCATATAATGGAAATGGTAAATGTGCGTGCCTATGAATAACTAATTTGTAGGATTAACTTTTCAATCATAGTCATCAGAAAAAAGAGGACAAATTTCCTGTATATCTTCTTGTGTCGTTTTTGTTTTCCTTCGGGGCCGGTTCTTGATTAAGAGCATCTGATGAACATCAAAGAACATAACGTTGATATGCTTAATTAATGATTGAATTTCTCCCCGTCAACTTGTATATAGTGTATTTTTTTTAAAAAAAATCATAAATATGTACGTCAGCCTTGCAAGATAAGATGTTGATATCACGTGGCCCCCTACCATAATATTAGTCCATATGGTAGCTTTCAACATTATTAAGAAATAATGAGTCCAGTGATTAATATTGCAACGAAGTTAGTTAACTTATGCCCTTTCAAGCAAATGGCACAGGTGATTAAATCAAATGGCCATATAGTGACAAACCTGCACCTCACAGCACTTGTATAAATAGACCCTACATGCATATATATCCCGCACTCATTATTCGAAACAGACAAATTAAAGATGGAGATCAATAACATTCTAGGCTCCAACTACGCACTCTTGTTCATGATTTGGTTAGCCTCTCTCATATTGGTCCGGACCATGTTCTCTAAACAACCAAAAGCTAGGCTTCCTCCAGGTCCTTTGGCCTTACCCATCATAGGACACTTTTACCTTCTTCGATCACCCATGCATCAAGCTCTTCACAAGCTCTCGAGCCGTTATGGACCCATGATTCTCATCTACCTTGGTTCTGTTCCCTGGTTTGTTGTTTCTAGTTCTGAAATCGCGAAAGAGATATTGAAAACCCATGAAATTTCTTTCTGTAATCGACCATCCAGTTCTGCTCTCAGATATCTCACTTATAACGGAGCTGGTTTCATATTTGCACCTTATGGAGCTTACTGGAAGTTCATGAAGAAGCTTTGCATGTCGGAACTTTTTAATGGTCGCATGCTTGACCTACTCTTTCCTGCTAGGCAAGAGGAGATTCACCATTTCTTGCAGGTAATTCTGAAGAAAGCCCACACGGGAGAAGTTTTGGACGTGAGAGCTGAGCTTGTGAAGCTAGCAAACAGCATCGTAATGAGAATGGCACTTAACAAAAGTTTGTGTAACAACGACGAGGAGGCTCATGAGGTGGTGCAGGCCTTGAAAGAATCAGCCAAGGTCAGTGGAAGACTCTACTTATCAGATTATTTATGGCTTTTCAAATTCCTGGACCCCCAAGGAGTTTGGAAGAAGTTGAGGGAGGTACGTGAGAGGTCGGACGCTAGGTTCGAAAGCATCCTTCGAGAGCATGAACAAGAAAGAATTAAATCCAACAAGAAAGATGCACCAAAGGATATACTAGATCTTCTTCTCAATATATCAGAAGATCCAAGCTCAGAGGTCAGAATCACTAGGGACAACATCAAAGGCTTCCTGAAGGTAAATATCCTCTACCAAATCTATAATATAAGGTAATACTATCTCCTAACTTATTAACTAATTTGAATACATTAAGAAAATTAGTTAAATTAGTTATTTGTAATAAATAGGTGTTGTCTTTTCTAAAATATCTTTACTAATTGAGTGTATCAACTAGAATAATCATTATTGTAAAGACTACCTTGAAAAAAATAAATAAATATAAGACACAAAATGAATTGGGGTTTTATATTTAGAACAACAATAAATGTCAAATGAGCTCTTATATTAAAGACATTTTAATTTGAGATCAAAGCTAAGCCATCAGTTTTAACTGACATATAATATGTCCAAGTCAGGATATGTTTTCAGGGGGGACTGGTACGACAGCCGTGGGGGTAGAGTGGGCGGTGGCAGAACTGATAAACCACCCAAAAATAATGGAGAAAGCAAGGAAGGAGGTTGAGCGGGTGACTGGGAATGAAAGAATAGTAAACGAGTCGGATATAGTAAATCTTCCATATGTTCAAGCAATAGTAAAGGAGTCACTGAGGCTTCACCCTCCTGCTCCCATGTTCCTGAGAGAGTCAACTGAAAGCTGCAACATAGCAGGATATGAGATTCCGGCCAACAGTCGAGTGGTCATAAATATTTGGGCACTTGGGAGGGACCCAAAGTATTGGGATGATCCATTAGAGTTCAAGCCAGAAAGGTTCATGAGGGAAGATCAAAAAAGCCAGATGGAAGTGAGGGGACAGAACTATAATATCTTACCCTTTGGAAGTGGAAGAAGAGCCTGTCCTGGAGCTTCACTAGCACTCAATATTTTCCATGCCACTCTTGCTGCTATGATTCAGTGCTTTGAATGGAAACCTGCAGGAGGAGATGGAGAGAAGAACGCCATCAGTACTGTTGACATGCAAGAGGGAAGCTCTGCAAGTCTTCAAAGGGCCCACCCCCTCATTTGCATCCCAAAACCCAGACTCTTGCCATTTCCCTCCATGTGATCTCCAAGAATTCTCATTGTTTGCTACTGCAAGGACTTTTACTTCCAGTCTTGTTCTTCGTTATGATCAGTTTCAGAATCGTTGCTTCCCATATAATGAACTAATGATGCCAAGTTTTACCGCGTTCACTTCATGAAGTTTTACCAGCAATATTATAGTAGTATTTATGAATGTTTACTACGATGTTCTCCGGCTTCATCCAGTCTAAATCCTTAATTACTTACAAACTAGTACAAGTGAGTTTTACCACGTTGACTTAAATGAAGTTACTGAAATTTTCCTCTTATGGCACGCCTGTTACAATAATCAAACCCGAAGTATTAAATGAGATGTCAACTCTTTTTAGTGAACTAACGCATGTCTATATAATCTGAAAAATACTACCTCTAGTCTTTAATATAAGAACTAATTAATTAATTTGAATTAAATTAAAGAATTAGTTAAGTTAGTTGTTTATAATAAATAGGTATTGTCTTTCTTAAAATACTCTTACTAATCAAGTTTATTAGCTAAAACTACCATTTGATGAAACCTTTAACATGTGTAACTATTACAAAATTACCTTTAAAAAAATAGATAAATATGAGAGATAAAATGGATCAGAATTTATATTAGAATGGAGTTGAAAGTCAAAGTAGCTCATATATTAAGAACCAGAGGTAGTAAAAATTTATTAGAAATCAGTTGGCTTCCGTAATGATCAGATCGTAATCTCACCTTTGGCCAAAAAACAAAAGATTGTTGTCTCACTTGTATAAATTGGCCGGTTGGAGTTTGGAACCAACAAGAACTGCATAAATGCCTGACAGAAAAGGATCAAAGTACGGCTGTGATTGTGATCCCGGGGGGGGGGCTGAATCTCAGAGCACCGTATTAATTATTATTTGGCTTAGAGTCATGACATAAGATGTTTAAGCTAGCCTGAAGGTATCGATTTAATATGAATATCAAACAGATTTCAAATAAAATTTAAGTAGCACTAAAAGTCATTTGAGACAAATTAGCTAGGGCGCATATTGATGGAAAGGATTGACTTCAAGCCTGAATTAAAAAAATAAAATAAAATAAAACAGGGTAAAATGAAGTTAAAAGAAAACGTCCCAGAATATCCTTTGGTATTTAATTTGGGAAACCACAATGGTATAATTCCATTCCATGTCCAGAATGGGATCCTTTCCATCCCATCCTTTCTCTTGTTTTCTCCATACATGATTTTAGATTTTTTTTTATCAGCAGATTTTAGAGAATCAATTTAATACGCGGGGAAGAGATACATAGATTTTCCTCTATTTTTTCATTCATAAAATGTTATCTCCGTTCAAATGACTCACTTGCCAAACAAATGACTCGTTCGAATTTTAACAGGTAGATTGTAATAGAACGTGTTGGCAATGAGGCGGAAGCCACAATTTACTTATTTTTTTAAATAAAAGTTTTTATTTAAATTATCAGCATGGTCACAAAATTTGTCATGTTCATAGGCAAAGCAAACAGGCAAAATTTCCAAAGCTCATAAAGTAGTAATGTCCTGCTAACATAATTGATATGAATGAATAAACAATGAACTTTGACGATTTCCTAATCCCCGGGACCAATCCAGAGAGGGAAAACAACAGATGTTAGCCATACCATCGACAATTATTGAAAGTATAATATATGTGTGTGTAAATAAATAGATCAGACATGAATATTATTTTTTTTTTTTGAAAAAATGCTGATCAAATGTTACAAGTCATAGCATTTAAAAGCCTTAATTCTTTATCTAGTTTTGCTTGGTTTTGCCCGCTATCATATCAATATATATCACCACGGCTTTCAACATAACTAGATTATGTAAGAAGGACAATGATTAATCTAAATTAAAGAGCTCTTGAATTAAGCTTTCATAATCTCGGGACCAATCTGGAAAAAGTTAAGCATTAAATATATATATTTATATATATAATTGCAATACGGTACGATGACTACGTGTGTGCGCCTGTGAATAATTAATTTGTAGGATTAACTTTTCATAATCAATTGTATTCATCAGCAAAAAGAGGACCACGGGAATAGAGCGAAATAAGAAGAGAAGACGTACAAAAACATCCAAAAGGGGCAGATTTCCTGTATATTTTCTCGTATTGTTTTTGTTTTCTTTCGTGGCTGGTTCTTGATTAAGAGCATCTGATGAACATCAAAGAACATAATGTTGATACGCTTCAAGATTTAATTTCTCCCTGTCAATTTATATATAGTCTATTTCAAAAAAAAATATCATAAATATGTCAGCCTTTCAAGATAAGATGTTGATATCATGTGGTCCTATACTATATCCAACGTAAGCCAACACTATACACATATATAATATTTTTGGCGCCACGTTTCATCGACATTGATTTCTAATAGTGATAAATAACGAAAAACCTTGGCTGTAAGTAATGAATAGTCCTTATAACTAGCCATAGCAATATTGACGAGATTGTAATTATATTAGTCCATTTAGTAGTTTTCAACATTATTAAGACGATGGATAATGATGACTTGAGAGCGATTCTGATGTTCATGTTGCCAGCCTTGCTGTTCATCATCTTGTTGTTAAGCAAGCGTAAAGGCAAAGCTAAGCTGCCACCCAGCCCCCCAGGCCTACCACTCATAGGCCACTTCCACCTGCTTGGTCCTCTCCCTCACAGAGCTTTCCACAATATCTCACAACGTTATGGCCCTCTTCTTCGTCTCTCCTTTGGCTCCAAATCCTGCGTCCTAGTTTCCTCTCCTGAGATTGCCAGGCAATGCCTCAAAATCAATGATGCTTCGTTCTTGAACCACCCCCATAAAACCAACCTCGACTATGTCACCTACGACCGTTCTGATATTTTCATGGCGCCTTACGGACCTTTTTGGAAGTTCATGAGAAAGCTTTTCATCACTCAGCTCCTCAGCCCAACCACACTGCATCATCACTCACCTGTTCGAGCACAGGAACTCAAGTTCTTCTTGCACAATTTACTGAAAAAGGCTGATTTAGGAGAGGAAGTTAACGTTGGAGAGGAGGTAGCATTGTTGGCTTATAATATTGTCACAACAATGGCGTTTAGAAAAAGGTGTTCTGATGTTAAGAGTGAAGGGTCCCAGCTGGTTCAGGTGGTCAAGGAGTTGATTGAGCTTGGTGGCAAGTTCAACTTAGCAGATATGGGGTGGTTGTTTAAGAAGTTAGACTTGCAGGGATATAGAAAAATACTAAGTACTGTTCGAACTAAGTACGATGCTATAATAGAGAGAATTATTAAGGAGCATGAAGAGTCAAGGAGGACGAGGAGGAAGGACACGCATAAGGAACATGAAGCAGAGAGGGATCTACTTGATATTTTACTAGACATATACGAGAATCCAAATTCTGAGATCAGACTGACGAGGGAAAATATCAAGGCCTTCTTTTTGGTATTCATCCGAATCCCATTAAATTTCTCTCTTTGAATTCAAATAGCTACCTAGGGACAGATAAATATTTAATTTGTCTTTGAATTCATATTATTAGTTTGCCATGTTCTGCAGAACATCTTTGGAGCTGGCACTGACACGTCGTCTCTTACAGTGACATGGGCCATGGCAGAACTGATGAATCACCCAGATATAATGGAGAAAGCAAGGAAAGAGATCGATTCAGTGGTGGGGAAGGAGAGAATAGTGGAGGAATCAGACATTCCAAACCTTCCCTACGTAGAATCCATAGTGAAAGAAACATTCAGACTTCACCCAACAGGAACCATGATATCGAGACAAGCAACTCAAGAGTGCGAGGTTAATGGCTACGTGATTCCAGAGAAGACGTCTCTGATCGTGAACGTGTGGTCCATTGGAAGGGACCCTGAGTACTGGGAATACCCACTGGAGTTCAGACCAGAGAGGTTTATGAATGAAGAGGGAGAGAGCGAGATGAGCTTGAAGGCGCAAAATTTTGAGTTGTTGGTGTTTGGGGCAGGAAGAAGAATGTGCCCAGGTGTATCTCTAGCTACCAAGGTGGTGCCAACAACTCTGGCTGCTATGATACAGTGTTTTCAATGGAAACTGCCTCATGAAGGAGACGTTGACATGGAGGAGAAGCCTGGTTTAGGCCTTCCCAGAGCTAATCCTTTGCTTTGTATACCTGTGCCTAGGCCCCTTCCCTTTCTAAAACTCTAGTCCTTTCCTGTATTATGCCCTTGTTTTCCAACTCTGTTACCTTTTTTTCTTTTCCTCCCTGTAAAATGTTTGAAAGAAGTAATGAGTCCTGTGATTAATATTGCAGCGAGATCCCATCTAGGCCCAGTAAGTATGGTTTGAATGCTTGATTAGGCTTACTTGAACTTTAAGGGAAGCAGCCCATGAAAGTAATAAAAAATATATTGGTCTAGATGTGAACCAGTGATTTCTTTCTTTTGTCTTTTAATACAAGTAGCAACTAAATAGTCCAAAATAACAGGAATATTCCCGGGCTTTATCATATGAGAGAATCAGAAAGCTACATACGAGCATAGATTCATGAGAGGGGGTGTGATGATATTGTCCAACAAGCAAGCGAAGTCATGTTATGAGTTTAATAAATCTATCAATCAACCTCAGCCATCACATAGCTATCATTTTAGGGGTCCATTATTGCCGGCAGGAGCAAAGGAAAAAACATTAAATTAATCTTGAACCTTTTTCATGACGTTTCAAACTTATGGAGTTTTATATCTTAAAATTCTGAGTTCAAAACTTGATACAAGTCTGGTTTTTAATGCATTTATCCTTTTAAGCATGGTGCTTTAATTTTTTTCCCATAATAAGGAAAATGAAAAACCTGCTCTCTGCCCTGGTATACCCATGAAAAACCATTCCACACTCATGTATTACTGAAGGCAGCAGGAAACCATTTTTTCCGTGCCTTGAAGATTATTTCCACTACATCTGTTTTTTAAAATAAAATTTTTTTGCCACTTTGAATGCATTGTTTAGTTAAAATTAGTTAATATATGCCTTATCAGTTATCATGCAGATGTCACCGCCACCGGTGATTAAATCAAATGGCCATATACTCTCAAACCTGTACCATACAGCACCTTTATAAATAGACCCTACATGCATATATCCCGCACTCATTATTCTAAACAGACAAAGATGGAAATCAATAACATTCTAGGCTCCAACTACGCACTCTTTTTCATGATTTGGTTAGCCTCTCTCATATTGGTCCGATCTATATTCTCTAAACAACCAAAAGCTAGGCTTCCTCCAGGTCCTCTTGCCTTACCCATCATAGGACACTTTCACCTTCTTCGACCACCCGTGCATCAAGCTCTTCACAAGCTCTCGAGTCGTTATGGACCCATGATTCTCATCTACCTTGGCTCTGTTCCCTGGTTCGTTGTTTCTAGTTCTGAAATCGTGAAAGAGATATTGAAAACCCATGAAATTTCTTTCTGTAACCGACCACCCAGTTCTGCTGTCAAATATCTCACTTATAACGCAGCTGATTTCGCATTTGCACCTTATGGAACCTACTGGAAGTTCATGAAGAAGCTTTGCATGTCAGAACTTCTCAATGGTCGCGTGCTTGACCTACTCCTTCCCGCTAGACAAGAGGAGATTTGCCATTTCTTGCAGGTAATTCTAAAGAAAGCTCACGCCGGAGAGGCTGTGGATGTGGGAGCTGAGCTTGTGAGGCTAGCAAACAGCGTCGTAATGAGAATGGCACTTAACAAAAGTTTCTGTACCAACGACGAGGAGGCTTATGAGGTGGCGCAGGCTGTGAAAGAATCAGCCAGGGTTAGTGGAAGACTCAACTTGTCAGATTATTTCTGGCTTTTCAAATTCCTGGATCTCCAAGGAATTGGGAAAAAGTTGAAGGAGGTACACGAGAGGTCGGACGCTAGGCTCGAAAGCATCCTTCGAGAGCATGAACGAGCAAGAATTAAATCCAACAGGAAAGATGCACCGGAAGATATACTAGATCTTCTTCTAAATATATCAGAAGATCCAAGCTCAGATGTCAGAATCACTAGGGACAACATCAAAGCCTTCCTGAAGGTAAATATCCTCTATTAAATAGTATATAATATAGGCTAATATATTTTAACTTCAGATCAAAAAATCAATCAGTTTTGATTGACATATAACATGTCCAAGTCAGGATATATTTTTAGGTGGGACTGGTACGATAGCGGTAGGGGTAGAGTGGGCGGTGGCAGAACTGATAAACCACCCAGAAATAATGGAGAAAGCAAGGAAGGAGATTGAGCAGGTGACTGGGAATGAAAGAATAGTAAACGAGTCGGATATAGTAAATCTTCCATATGTTCAAGCAATAGTGAAGGAATCACTGAGGCTTCACCCCCCTGCTCCAGTGATCCTAAGAGAGTCAACTGAAAGCTGCAACATAGCAGGATATGAGATTCCGGCCAACAGTCGAGTGGTCATAAATATCTGGGCACTTGGGAGGGATCCAAAATACTGGGATGATCCATTGGAGTTCAAGCCAGAAAGGTTCACGAGGGAAGATCAAAAAAGCCAGATGGAAGTGAGAGGACAAAACTATAATATCTTACCCTTTGGAAGTGGAAGAAGAGGCTGTCCTGGAGCTTCACTAGCACTCAATATTTTCCATACCACTCTTGCTGCTATGATTCAGTGCTTTGAATGGAAACCTGCAGGAGGAGATGGAGAGAAGAACGCCATCAGTACTATTGACATGGAAGAAGGAAGCTCTGTGGATCTTCAAAGGGCCCACCCCCTCATTTGCATCCCAAAACCCAGATTCTTGCCATTTCCCTTACAGTGATCTCCAAGAATACAATTATCGTTGTTTGCCGCTGCACGGACTTTTACTTCCAATCTTGTTCTTCATTACGATTAGTTTCGGAATCGTTGCTTCCATATGATGAATTAATGATGCCAAGTTTGTCTTGAATATGTTGTTCATTGTACAAAATGTGCTGCCATCAGTGTTATACTACCTTCAGTCCTTAATATAAAAGTTTATTTGACTTTTATTTTAATCCTAAATATAAAACTGTAATTTATTTTGTCTTTCATATTTATCTATTTTTTTCAAGATAGTCATTACAATAATGATAGGTTTAGCTAGTATATTTGATTAGCAAAGATATTTTAGGAAATACAATACACATTTATTACAAATAACTAACTTAATTAATTTTTTTTAATATACTCGTATTAATGAACTAGCTCTTATATTTAGAAGCGGAAGTAATATTTAAGAATGATTGTAAAGATGTTCCGTGCTTCATCCAAACTAAATCCTTAATTACTAGTACAAGTGAGTTTTACCACGTTGACTTAATGAAGTTACTGAGATTTTCCTCTCATGGCACGCCCGTTAGAATGATCAAACCAGAAGCGTTAAATGAGATGTCAACTCTTTTTAGTGAACTTTTGGCCCAAAAAAAAAACTCTTTTTAGTGAACTAACGCGTATTTATATAATCTGCGACATAAGAATTTATTAGAAATCACATGGTTTACGCAATGATTAGATCGTTATCTCACTTTTGGCACCCAAAAAAAAAACAGAGAGAGAGAGATTGTTATCTGTCTTGTATGAACTGGCCGATTGGACTTTGTAACCACCAAGAACTGCATATATGCCTGACAGAAAAAGGAAAGCACGGCTGTGATTGTGATCGAGAAAAGGGCAAAAAAACTGAATCTCAGAGCATGACGTAAGATGTTTAAGCTAATTGAGAGTGAGTCAGCGAAGTTCTAATCTAACCTGAAGGTGTCGATTTAATATGGAATATCCAACAGATTTCTAGTAAAAAAAATTTTGGTAAAGGATTTCTAATAAAATTTTAATTAACACTAAAAGTCACTAGAGACAAAATGGCTAGAGCGCATATTGATGGCAAGGATTGACTTCAAGGCTGAATGAAAAAATAAAAAATGGGATGAAATAAAGTTAAAAGGAAACTTCCCAGAATATCCTTTGGTATTTGAGAAACCTGAATGGTATAATTTCATGTTCAGAATGGGACCCTTTCCATCCTTTCCCTTGTTTTCTCTCCATACGTGATTTTACGGTTTTTTTCCATCAGCAGATTTTAGAGAATCAATTTAAAACTTGTGGAAGAGAGCATTTTCATCTACATTAGAGAAAGTCATTCGGACGAAAATTTACTATAATCTATTTTTTCATTCATAAAATCTGACCTTATACTCAGTTGCCATACAAATAACTTGTTCAAATTTTAACCATTAGATCGTAATAGAATGAGCTGGCATTGAGGTGGAAGCTACAATTTATTTTTTTTTCAAAGGATAAGTTTTTATTTTATACCATTAATCACAATCTAATAATTAGTATCCCTCAATAATTGAGGATCCCAATCCCCTAGTTGCAATTGCTTTTCCTTTGTCGGAATAAACTATTCAAATAACTAAACGGTGAAGAACAGCTACGCATTTTTTAAAAATGGATTTTCAAGTCAAGTGAGAACTGGTCATACTCATAATATGGTTGCAGATTTTAGGTTTGAACTGAGAATTTACATATTGCCGGCCAATCCCAGAAATATAGGATAAAGACAATCACGCCAGTTTCCTTTTAAGTAAAACACTCGCTTCCGACATCTACACTATTGTCAACGATGGAACACAAAACAGCAAGCAAGCGAATTAAATTAAGTAATATTCTAAATAAATCAGCATGATTATAATTCCCGAACTCTCAGACAGACCATATATAGTCGGCTTAATTAACAAGTCCAACGAAATATACAATGAAGTGCCTTAATTCCTTGTTTATTGAAGGCACATTATTGACCCCTTACCCCAAAACATAACTGGGATTCACAGCCAAAGATGGAGGATTTTCAAGTATACATCCAAGTAGCAACCATTGGGTTAGTTTCGTTGATCTTGGTTCGAGCCATTTTTAGCAGAATACAAAAGAAGCCTAATTGCCCACCTAGCCCACTGGCTTTGCCCATCATAGGACACCTCCACCTTCTTGCTCCCATTCCTCATCAAGCTCTTCGCAGCCTTTCCCAACGCTACGGACCCATCATCCAACTTTTTCTGGGCTCTGTTCCATGTGTTGTAGCTTCCACTCCAGAAACCGCCCTTGAGTTTCTCAGAACTCATGAAGCTTCTTTCTCCAATCGCCCTCAAAATACTTCCGTTGACTTCTTGACCTATGGCTCCCAGGACTTCTCCTTCGCTCCCTACGGCCCCTACTGGAAGTTCATGAAGAAACTGTGCATGTCTGAGCTTCTCGGTGGCCGGACGCTCGACCAGCTCCTTCCGGTGCGGCGGCAGGAGACGCTGAGATTTCTAGGGCTTCTGCTGAACAAGGCCGAGAGGGGTGAGGCGGTGGACGTTGGAGCAGAGCTGCTGACACTGTCCAATAACATCGTGTCCAGAATGCTCATGGGTCAAACATGCTCTGAGGATGACGGTGAAGCTGAAGAGATCAGGAAGCTAGTGAGAGACACCGCCGAGCTGACGGGGAAGTTCAATGTTTCGGATTTTATTTGGTTCTGCAAGAACTGGGATTTGCAGGGAATCAAGAAAAAAGCAAAGGAACTGAGGGACAGGTTCGACAGTCTCATGGACAGAGTGATAGGAGAACACCAGGAGGAGAGAAGGAAGATGAAGGAAGTAGGTGAGGTCTATGAAGCGAAGGATCTGCTTCATATTTTGCTAGACATATATGAAGATGAGAACTCAGAGATAAAACTGAACCTAGAGAACATAAAGGCCTTCATCCTTGTAAGCCACCGAAATCACTACTCTCCATCCTTTTACATATTTCTTCCTACATGTATATCAACTACGATGTTGCAGGACATATTCATGGCAGGAACAGACACTTCAGCCTTAACGACGGAATGGGGACTTGCGGAGCTAATAAACCACCCAAGTGCGATGAAGAAAGCGAGAGAAGAGATAGAAAGAGTAGTAGGAAGGAGGAGGATAGTAGAAGAATCAGACATTCCGAACCTTCCCTACCTGCAAGCGATAGTGAAGGAAACCCTAAGGATACACCCAACAGGACCGTTAGTGGTGAGGGAATCGAGCGAAAGGTGCAGTGTGGGAGGGTACGAGATTGCAGAGAAGACGCAGCTGTTTGTGAACGTGTGGGCCATAGGAAGGGACCCAAACTACTGGGAAAACCCAGAGGAGTTCAGGCCAGAGAGGTTCATGATGACGACGAGTGAAGAAGGAGGAGGAAGAGGGAGAAAGAAGCAGGTAGATGTGAGAGGGCAACACTTTGAGTTGATACCATTTGGGAGTGGAAGAAGAGGGTGTCCTGGAACATCTCTGGCTTTGCAGGTAGTGCAGGCGAATCTGGGAGGCATGATTCAGTGTTTTGGGTGGGAGGTAGAAGGAGGCAAGGCAAGTGTTGACATGGAAGAGAAACCAGGCCTCACTCTTTGCAGAGCTCATCCTTTGATCTGTGTCCCGTGCCCTAGCCTCACTCCCTTTCCTTCTTTCTGAACAAATTAAAATTGCGGTTCGTGTTTGGATTATTAGGAGAGGTAGAGGGAAGTACGTCAAAATACTTGAACTTTTTCCCATGGTTTTCTAAAAAATTAAAAAAGAAAAGAAAAGTTAGAAGGTGACTTCGATCAGGTGATCCCCATCCAAGAAATATTGGGGTTTCTTTTTCTGCGCAAAAAGATGTAGGAAAGCAACGCGGGTATTAAAAATCCCTTTGCTTTGGTCTTACCCTACCAATCTACATCTTTATCTTTGCGTTGCGCTATCCATTTTAACAAAAAGGTTTCATAGTTTCATGCCTCATTCATTGCCAGAGACATTTGTCGTCGTCCTGCCCTCATCTTCGGTTTGCTAATTCAGTACTCAACGATCGCCCGAGGATCAGGAGTGAAACTATGGCAGCGTGATGATTGAAATAATTATAATCAATGCAAATAAAATCAAATGCAATAATAACATAGGAAGCAGAGAATTTAAAAACATAAATTTACAAAGTGATATTGATGGAATCAAGTGTTTATATTTTTTATTAATTTATAATTTTAGAACTCTATAAACACTCCTGATTTCTCATTACAAATCTTATAAATTGATTGATAAATAAATTGCGTTCCTTCAATCTCTGTCCCCCTCTCCATCCCTTTTTATGCTGCAGCATCATCCAACTCATACACTAATTTTGCCAGCCCACACTTACAGGGTATTCCTGTTTTTGAAAATCGAAACAACTTCAACATTACTCTAAAAGGAAACTCCCTGACCTATCCTTTTCCTCCATCGAGGTTTAGCTGTAAAATCTTTTTTTTTTTTTTCCATTTTAGGATTTAGCTTTGCTTCTCATAAAGATATCTGAATTATTAAAAATTATGCAATTTGGTATACCTCTTTTTGTGTACGCCTATGTATAATCAATACTATCAGTGTATCAATAATTCAATACTTTATATATCATATAGAATTTATATAAATTTTATGAGATGCACTATTTGTAAATCATAAATAATATTCCTCCGATCCTTAATATAAAACTCATTTAACTAATTTGATTAGATTAAGAAAATTAGGTAAGTTAGTTAATTATAAAAAATATGACACATTTTTTCTAAAATATTATAATCATCATATTTTTATTTTAAATTTCGTGTAGACACGACAATGCGATTCATTTCAGTCAGACGTAAAAAAATGCAAATCATACTCTAAATATTATTTAAAAAATTATATATTTATCAAGTCAATTGTAAAAATACAAATAAAAATATGTGTTTAATTTGGAAAATAAATAAGAAAGGAAAAGAAGGCTGTTTTATGGCCAAAGAAAAACAACTAAAAAGAAAGACATAATAGGTGGCACAACACAAGGGAGCCCTATCCAGCGTGTCATTTAGTGGTTTTGTTCTCTTCCCACAGTTTGTGTTTCCGGTAGATGGCGGTTCTCTCCTTTTCTTTCTCTCTCTTATCGCGCTTCCGTTTCCGCATTTGGATCTGCCTCGATTCCCTCAATACCATTCTCCTCGCTTTTTTTCATTGATCTTTTTCTTTCTTTCAGTACATTTATCCATTCTAATTCCTCCACCAATCTTTCTTCTTTCTCCTTATGTTTTTTTTTTTGGTGGTCGTTCAGATTTTTGTCAGAATTTTGGCTCTCCAGATCTGTTTTGCGTACACTACTAGTGCTGTTTTCAGTACATTTATCCATTGAAAATTTTCTCTTGTTTTACGTTTACGAAACAGAGTTATTGTTTATCAATCAGCTTACAGTCATAACTCAACGCTGTTCTGTTTTTATTCATCGTCGTACATCATCCAATCTGAATTTGACCAAGCTCGATACTTGACGATTTGAGATTCTGGATAATGGTCACAGTTAATCTGGGAATTCTTCATTATGTGTTGGACCACGTTTATGGTGCATTCATGCATCGATCGAGGATTAGCACCCCCTTTTTCTCGAAAGGATGGGGTGGCACCAAACTTGACATGCTCGAGAAAATGATTAAGCAGTTGTTCCCAGAAATTGCAGGACAAAATTGGCCTCCCGTTTTGATTCAACCCATCTGGAGGACGATTTGGGAGACGAGGACTGCTTGTTTGAGAGAAGGGGTATTTAGAACCCCTTGTGATGATCAGCTGCTGAATGCCTTGCCTCCTGAGAGCCACAATGCAAGGGTTGCGTTTCTGGTGCCCAAGAATGTTCCCCCGGGGAAGATGGCTTGCGTGGTTCATCTTGCAGGTAACACGCTAGAATTTTTGCCTCTGTGGCATATGATTTGGTCGTCGTCAATAAACTACTAGGCTAAGTTTGAAGTTGAAGTTTTGCTAAAGGCTTGAGATCTGTCTATAACTTCCATCAGGAGACTATCGAGGTTGACATAATGGTTTATGAATTTTGAAACGACAATATATTGACAAATAGAATTACGTAGTCCTGGACGGGGAACTTGGGCTTCTTATGGGCTGGATGGTCACTTCCGGGATTATGCTTGGATGTGATGGTAACATCTATCGCCAAGAAAAGTTTTTCTTTGTTTGTTTGTTTTTTTTTTTTTTTTTTTTTTTTGTGGGGGTGGGGGGGACAGAAAGGAATAAAAGTTTTCAAAACTTGTGAAGTTAGTGATATCTCTTCGTGCATTTTGTTTTATGGACAATGGATAGAAAGAAATGTTTTCTCTATGCTGCCCTGTTTAGGATGCATGCTACCATACAAGTATTGTATACTTTTAATAGCATATAGGGTTACGGTTGCTGTCTCAATAGTTTAATCTGTGTAGTATAGTATCGTTTCATTCTGATCTTTTTCATGGATGAACTGTAAAGGATGGTAGCAGTGAAGGACATAGTGATCTCTCCCACTTTAATCCATGTTAGTTATTTTGTTGATAAATAGGACTGAACTGTTGAGCCAAGTTGGGTTGCTATCAATCGTAAATTTATTCTGGATGAATCATCCCTAAATTACTAAATTGTTTTGCGCAGAGACTGGGAAGAATTTGTTTCTGGACCTTAACTATTCGTTTATTTTGCAATTGCTTAGTCTAAATTAGGTAGCTAGCTTGATCTCTTGGCTCTTATCCAGTGCAATCAGAATGTCATTGATTTGGTCAGCTATCCTGACTTATTGAGCATGGCCATTCATTGGCACGTTCAGAATTTTCTCCTTTCCTGAGTTTGGTAATCAAGCAAGCTGCAGAGAGGATTGTAATGAACGCACGTAGGAAAACCAAGAATGAATAATTCCCTTGTTTGTGTAAGTTGTAATATCTTCTGGTCCTCTGCTTCGTAGTTAGGCATCAAAGATTGACACAAGACACTTACTATTATAAGTAGGATAAGGTCATTATTTAGCTGGGAGAATCGCCAGGTCAGAAAATCCGGATGATAAGACCTCTCTTTACCTGTGACCATGAATCTGTCTTTTGTCACCTTGCCATTTTGTTTAATAGCTGCATCTTTATCTTTAAAAGATAATTGCAGGAACTGGGGACCATACCTTTGAACGGAGATTGCGTCTTGGTGGACCTCTGGTAAAGGAAAATATTGCAACCATGGTACTTGAAAGGTCAGGCTAAAATTTTTTTTGAAACCAAAGTTATCATCTTTTCAACCATTTTTTAATATAAACTTACATTTGTCATCATATATATGTGTGTCTGTCTCTGTGTATCTATTTATGCAAATGCAGTCCATTCTATGGACGAAGACGCCCTATGCTCCAGTGTGGTGCCAAACTTTTGTGTGTTAGTGACCTTTTATTATTAGGAAGAGCAACCATTGAAGAGACCCGAAGCCTTTTACACTGGCTGGATGCTGAGGCAGGTTTCGGCAAGATGGGTGTTTGTGGACTTAGTATGGGTAAGATTCATCTGGACTGAAGCCCATGCTAATGCTCAAGCTGCTACATCTTCATTGTTTTGTTTTTTGACCATTGCTAATAGTTTCAAATATTTTCGACTTATACATAACACATGGGAAATAAATTAGCAGAATTGGTTGAACTGCTGAGTCTCAGTTCAGTTGTCAAAAAACGTTGACATCTGCCTAGGGAAGTGATTGGATATTTGAATTCTTAACTTTTGGAACCTTGCAGTGTCCAATATCATATATATTTGGGTATTTTTATGAACTTTAGGAGGAGTACATGCAGCAATGGTGGGATCACTTCACCCGACGCCTATTGCAACTTTCCCTTTTCTATCACCACATTCTGCTGTTGTGGCATTCTGTGAGGGAATTTTAAAGCATGGCACCGCCTGGGAAGCACTGAGAGAGGATCTTGCAGCGCAGAAGGCTGCAATGACTCTTGAGGAGGTAAGAGAGAGGATGCGAAATGTCCTATCTCTCACAGATGTCACACGCTTTCCAATTCCCAAAAATCCAAATGCTGTGATCTTCGTTGCTGCTACAGTGAGTCCCAGAACCTCTTATTGCTTAATACCTTTTAAATATATATTCAGTGAAAATTGGAAGTAACTGACATCTAATTTTTCTAGCTGCCCTTCCATTTCCGTGGACCAATTCTAAGACAGTTAACAAAATGAGAATCATTTGTATTGAAACGAAGCGTTCTGAAAAATGGCAGTCCATACTATCTTTGTTGGTTAGCCTTACTTTGTTTCTGATTCAAAATTGGGCTGTGGATCACTTTTATTCTGATCATACAGTATTCTCTTTTGATTGTTTTTCCCTGTATCTTTGATTTTCTTATCTAGTGGACATTTTTGTCCGTGTCAGTCGAGAGTCTAGCAGAAAGTTTTTAGATCATTCTGCTGTTATCTTTGTTTACCTGGTATTCTCTATGTTGTTACTTTTTATGGGTAATCTTTTCTGTTGCAATTCAGAAGGGTGAATTTCACCCATTTTTATTAAGATGCTTGCAGTTGTCTAGATTTCTCCGCTTATTTGTTATCATTCTATATGAGTCTTTCTTAAGAGTCCTTTCTGTGAAAGTTTAGGTGGAATATCTACTTATAACGGTAAACACCATTTGCAGGATGACGGGTACATCCCAAAACACTCGGTGCTGGAACTTGAGAAAGCTTGGCCGGGTTGTGAGGTGAGGTGGGTCACTGGCGGTCATGTCTCATCCTTCCTTCTCCACAATGGCGAATTCCGCAGGGCTATTGTCGACGGCCTTAATAGATTATCATGGAACAAGGACACTCCTTTGTGACCGCCAACTTACAAGGAGTGCTCACTACTCCGACTCTCATGATTCATCACTTTATCCTTGTAGTTTTCAATTGAAATTGTCAAATGGGCGGCTGATTTTAGAGTCCCCATTCCTTTGAAAGAAAATGGATTGTGAAAAGGGCTTGTAAATTAATTTGCCCATTTTAATTGGAAATTTGTACAGGAAAATTGAAATAACTCAACCCCCATTAGCAACCTCTATGGAATAACGTTTAGGCGATGTGGAGAGGGAACTAGGGGGAGAAAATTTTTTAAAAAAATTGCTGTTTTTAGAAGTTTTCTATGATCGTATTCTATCTTCCGTGATTTTTCTGCCCATCCAAAGGAAGGATAAAAGGGATGGAGGTAAGTTGAAGTCATTCATTTGAGCTGCAGCGTGATTTTGTTTCTACTTGCATCTGAAGTTGAAAGGTAGATTCGCGTTTAAGAGACTTTTATGTATATGATCATCAGTTTGTTGGGGGAATACACTCAATTGGGAATAGGAACAATATGACCGTTTGGCAGAATTTGACCAAACCTATTCATGACTACAGGTTGAATTCCCGGAGGTCCATTCCTCATAAGGGAGGACTCCTTGAAGCGTGACGTGACTTATTACTGATAATAGACCGACGGGATCAGATGCAAATATATCTTTAAGCGATTTAATTATAAATTTTGACTTAAATTGAATGGTTTGAACCAATTTTTAAGAACCGACCGGACCGGACGTCGAAACGTTGAACCGTGACCCAGACTCGTTAACGGCTCGTTTGGACCAAAAAACGTTCATATTTGAGCGGATTGGACCGGAGTTGAGCCGTTATTAGCCGAAACCGGAGTTGGACCGGGAACCGGAACGGTTTTTAGAAAACGACGGTTTTTTAGCCTGACTGAAAAAATACTAAAAATTAAAAAAAATAGAAGAAAAATAAAAAATTGATCCCCTTAAGTATCCTAATATATTTTTAGACTATTTATAACCATAGAGTATTATTTCATTGAAATTTCATATATTGTGGTGTTAAAAATCTAAGTCGCTAGTCTTTTTGTTTTGATATTTGGTCAAAGATCAAACTTTTGGACTCATTCTCACCCCCTTGGGCACTAGCCGCTGCAAATAAAAACCCAACCAAAACCCTCACGGCCCTTCCCCGCCTACTGTGAATCAAACATGGGCCATCTCTTCTGGTCGCCGTCCTTTTCTATGTGCATGCTTTTATGGAAGAGAACAAACGAATATGTAAACAGAAGAAAACTTTGAATAAAGACGGCAGAATAATGGTATAAAGCATCTTTTTTGAACATAGGCTTTCTACGATGCTTCCCCACTTTTTTATACTCCTCATACCAGCTTCACCTCTCAACCTTATCACTTAAGCGACCGCCTATCCCTTCCACATTAATTAGTTCTGCTGTGGCATACAATGAAATTGTCCATTCTGTTTTAACCTAACTGCCAGAATACCCCTTGTATCCTATCCTACAAACAAGAACAAAAACGAGGGCAAAAGTGGTCGTTTCAATTTTGCCCAGAGAATCTAGGAAAGAGGGCAGAGCTTGTGTTAGTCTATCTGTATTTTATTCTCTCATACACCCAAATTTTTGTTCTCTCGAGTGGGTATCTGTTATGTCTTTTGCCACTTTGGAATTTCAATCAGTAGGTTTTATTATCTCTATTTCCTTACCAAGTGACTATACGGCCCATTCTTGAATCACTCGGCGTTTAGATAAAGCAGAAAGGTTCGAGAACATTGTTTCTCTAGCGCAATATTTCCTCAACATCTTTGTTAGTCCCTCTTTAGTTTGTCTAGGATCTGTATATCAATATAATTTGTGTTTTATATGAACGCAAATCGGTACAACCTCTGATGAGGCGTGTGCGTGTGTAGAAGATGCCTTGTATATAAAAAAGTAGGCCACAAAAGAGACCTAATGCTTTGCCCAAAAAATGTCACTAATGACTGTCTTGAAACACCAAGATCATGACAAAGAAAGATGAGAAACACGGCAGCCGCAGTAGGAGAGGGAAAAAAGTAGCAGTTTAAAACACAAATACAGATAAGTAAGGAATAAAGGGAAAGAACCTTTGCATATTTCGACCTGTGCATAATACTTCCTTTCACAGCTTCATTTCATGGTCTCAAACAGGAGACAGAGTTCAAACTTGATATCTCCGTTTTCCAGAGTCCAAATTTACTGTTGTCCTCTGGAGTTTTGCTTTGAGTTCCTTCCTCTGTTGCCTAGGCAGCAAACATCGGAGAATGAAAGTTGATTTTAGCGCAGGACACTAGGGACCAGAGTTTTTGCAGCAACCAGAAATTTTGAAAGTCGACGTTTCCAAAGGAAGGACACAAACGCAATGGGTTCCCAAGCTGGTTCAAAGCCAAAAGAACAAGACGATTACAAGCTGAAGGACACAAAACCTGAGCTGGGAGAAAAATGGCCCCATGGGGGACAACGTGGAGGGAGTGGGTGGATTGCAAGCGACAGGGCCACCAGCACTTACGACCTGGTGGAACAGATTTCTATCTCTATGTCCGAGTTGCGAAAGCCAAAGACCTACCTCCAAATCCTGTGACAGGAAATTGTGACCCTTACGTGGAAGTCAAGGTCGGCAACTACAAGGGCAAAACAAGACACTTCGAGAAGAAGAGCAATCCCGAGTGGAAACAGGTTTTTGCATTCTCCAAGGAAAAGATACAATCTTCAGTCGTTGAGGTGTTTGTCAGAGACAAAGAGATGGTGTCCCGAGATGAGTACATCGGAAAAGTGGAATTTGACATGCATGAAGTTCCAACCCAGTGCCCCCAGATAGCCCTCTGGCTCCTCAGTGGTATAGATTAGAGGACAGAAGAGGAGAGAAAAAGGTGAAAGGAGAAGTGATGCTGGCAGTTTGGATGGGAACACAAGCTGATGAAGCATTTCCTGATGCATGGCATTCGGATGCTGCTTCAGTACAAGGAGAGGGAGTTTATACAATTCGGTCCAAGGTTTATGTTTCACCAAAACTGTGGTATCTCAGAGTAATGAGTAAATGTGATCGAAGCTCAAGATGTAGAGCCAAGCGATAAAAGCCAACCACCCCAAGTGTTTGTGAAGGCTCAAGTAGGAAATCAAGTACTCAAAACTAAGGTATGTCCGACAAAAACAACAAATCCGTTCTGGAACGAGGATCTCTTGTTGTGGCAGCAGAGCCGTTTGAAGAACAACTGGTGCTGACTGTGGAAAACAAGATAGGATCAAAAGATGAAATTGCTGGTAGGATAAGCATCCCACTTAATAAATTCGAGAAGCGTTTGGATCATCGTCCAGTTCATTCGCTGGTTCAATCTAGAAAGTTTTGGTTTTGGTGCTTTGGAGGGAGACAAAAGGCATGAACTCAAATTCTCTACTCGGATTCATCTCAGAGTGTCTCTCGAGGGTGGCTACCATGTTTTGGATGAATCTACGTTATATATAAGCGATACAAAACCAACCGCGAGACAGCTATGGAAGCAGCCAGTTGGAATTCTGGAAGTAGGAATATTGAGCGCTCAAGGGCTCCAACCTATGAAGACCAAGGACGGAAAATCAACCACCGATGCTTATTGTGTTGCCAAGTACGGACAAAAATGGGTCAGAACAAGAACCATCACCGATAGCTCAAACCCCAAATGGAATGAGCAATACATGTGGGAAGTATACGACCCTTGCACTGTGGTAACCTTGGGAGTTTTCGACAACTGCCATTTGGGAGGGAATGAGAAGCCATTATCAGGAAGTGGAGCCAAAGTTGATTCCAAATAGGAAAGGTAAGAATTCGCTTATCAACTCTCGTAATGGATAGGATATACACTACTCTTACCCCTTGCTTGTTCTACGTCCTTCTGGATTGAAGAAGACGGGTGAACTTCAGTTAGCTGTTAGATTTACTTGTCTTTCCTTAGCGCACATACTTTACCTCTATGGGCAACCCTTACTCCCCAAAATGCATTATCAGCATCCATTCACTGTGAATCAATTAGACAGTTTGAGATTCCAGGCCATGAACATTGTGGCAGTAAGGCTTGGGAGAGCAGAGCCACCCCTGAGGAAAGAGGTTGTAGAGTACATGCTAGACGTGGACTCTCACATGTGGAGCTTAAGAAGAAGCAAAGCTAATTTCTTCAGAGTAGTATCAGTATTTTCTGGTGCAATAGCTATGAGCAAGTGGCTGGAAGAAGTTAAAAAATGGAAGAACCCAGTGACCTCAATTCTAGTACACATCCTGTTCTTCATATTAATCAGCTACCCTGAACTGATCCTCCCCACCATCTTCCTGTACATGTTTGTGATCGGCATATGGAACTTCCGGTTCAGGCCAAGACCCCGCCTCACATGGACACAAAACTTTCATGGGCAGAAGCAGCACAACCTGATGAACTGGATGAAGAGTTTGATACTTTTCCAACTTCTAAGGCACAGGACGTGGTGAAAATGAGGTATGATAGGCTGAGGAGTGTGGCGGGAAGAATACAAACAGTGGTGGGAGATATTGCAACACAAGGTGAGAGATTTCGTGCACTCCTGAATTGGAGAGACCCAAGAGCGACTTGTTTGTTTGTAATGTTCTGTTTGGTTGCGGCTGTGGCCCTATACATAACACCTTTCAAGGTGATCGCTGCACTTCTCGGAGTTTACTGGCTTCGTCACCCCAGGTTCCGAAGCAAACAACCCACTGCTCCAAGCAATTTCTTCAGGAGATTGCCTTCTCGTGCTGATACTATGCTTTAAGCATCAGCATTTGTCGTTTTTCTTTTCTACGGCAACCCTTAATTTTTTTCCTATTTTTTCAGTTTGGGCGATGAATTTTCTAGTCATTGGATTTGTTATTCTTCGTGTTATTTGACGCTGAGGCATTTTGAACGTAATGGCTGAGAATGACTCTGCAAGGCTAAATTGTGTCCCCCCCCCCCCTCCCCCCCCCGGTGGGCCAAAGTACATTGACTCCTTAACTCCCTCGTCTTTGAAAATTTAAAAATAACCTCTTTATCTTGCAAATTTTGACTCTTAACCCTGTTAAAATATGGCCGTTAAATATTTCATCTCAGATTGATCAGGTTTTACTTGCCAAATGACATGGACTTTTTTTTTAATATTTCATTAATTAAATTCATAACTTCGCTCAAGGATAATTTTCTTATTCCCCGTGAGAAACCCTGAAATATTGATTCCCCTGTTCTTGCCTCTTCCTCTGTCTCCTCCTGCTGCAAGTTTAGTTTGTCAGAATTTTTTTTTTTTTTTAAAAAGAATTGTCTTGGCTTCAAAATATAGATTCATGGTCGTGATTACTTCCCTAACATTTATAGATGACACAATCACCGAAATCCTAAAACAAAGGAGGATGCCTGCACTTGGGTGGAACTCGGAAGTCACTGACCCTTGCGTATCGCACGAGTTACCGCACAAACCGTCTTATTCAGGAACCCGTGGGCTGGACTCTAGCCAATGGGCTTCGTATTCCTCTGGCCTTCACATGTTCTCAATAACTGGGCCATAGTTCAACATTGTGCGGCCCATAAAGAATGGTCAATCTTTTTTTTTCTTTAGTTGCCCAGAATATCCTCCCACCCGAACAGTAAGAGACTAATCTCTTGAGATGTGATGAGCCGTAGCGGAGACCCCTCCCAATAATATTTTTTTCCATGCACACCGCCCTAAAAATCAAACCCAGGATATGATGTTTAAGGTGTCCAAGTCCCTTCTATTTGAACCAACACTTGTTGTATAAATAGTCAATTTTGCCAATGCTTATGCAAAAATTCAATTTCAACAATTTTCAACCAATCAATGTGCATACATGTGTACATATATGTGTGTGTGTGTAACCAGAGAAAATGTAGACACACACACACACAAATTCAGGCTCTAGTTGATCTGAGTGGAATTTCAATATATTAAATGTTTCATTAAAATGAAAATTTGATATTCCAATTATTAATTGATCAGTTAAAAACTAATCTCCGAGATTATGGGTGGTTTTAGTACAGTACCAGTACCTTCCCTTCAAATATCATACTCTCTCTGATCCTTAATATAAGATCCATTTAACTAATTTAATTAATTAAGGAAGTTAGGTAAGTTAGTTGATTATAAGAAATGTGGCACATTTTTCTTAGAACACCATAATCATCTTTCTTAATACCCATTCTCATTCTTCTACTCGATTATGTTTGAGAGAATATCTATAAGGGTAATTTAGAGAAAACTGATATATATGAGAAATAGGTCTTATATTTAGAACCAAAATCAACTCAACAATTGGGTCTTATATTAAGGATTGGAAGAGTATTTACCTGTCCCTTAATAAAATTACAGGTCAAATAACACAGTACAAAATCATCAACCTAGAGGCTACTCGCTGTATACCTCACAGTGCTCAGTAAATTGTGTCAATCTCGCTTACAATCTTATTCGGTTATATTTTTCAAAGAATGTGAATTGAACTTCTTAAGATATTTTTATACTTTTGTTTTTTTCACATAACAACAACAGCAACAAACAATAATGATTAGATAAAGATAAATAAAACAGGATTGAATATAAATACGTTTGAACGAGAAATGAATACATATTTAAACTCCCATGACCGAAATTTGCAATTATATGCAAATTAAGACTATAAAATTTTGTTATAGTTCAAACTTCCTTGAACACAGCGTCACTCAAGCGTAATTATAAACAGATCCTGAATAAATAAAATAACTATTTTTATATGTGCAAATGATTTGAGGATAATATACATGCTAGAAGTTGATATGCAAATGCGACATCATAAATAATTAATTTTCTATCTGAGGACGTATTTATAAATTTTTCTTAAAAATTATTCGACAAGTATATATGTGTATGCATAGAGAGAGGAGAGATGAAGATAACAACACTTTCGCAGCTTATGAGATATCCACTATAAGATATACAAGAGGTAAATAAAAAGGGACAAATTCCTCATTGAAAATTTAATTCGCAAATAGGACCTAAATATTTGTGTAACTTAACTTTTATTATATGTAACTTAATTTCATTTTTGTACAGTTCATCTTTCCTTGTGTGCAATAATCTTCCTTTCTGTGATGTGTAACTTAATTTTCTTTTGTGCAAGTCATCTTTCCTTTGTGCAAACCATCTTCTTTTTGTGCAATTTACCTTCCTTTGTGTGCAACTAATCTTTCCTTATACAATCAATCATGCTAGAGACCATTTACTGATTAAATTTGTAATGAGAAATTTATCCTCAATTTTCCAATAAAAAATCTTAAATTTGTATTGGTGACGGAAGACACTACATAACAATTGACCTTCAACACAAGCAATATATTCAATCCATAATACTACTCCTCCAATCCTTAATATAAGACCTCATTTGACTTTTATTTTGATCCTAAATACAATACTCTAATCTATTTTATCTCTCATATTTATACATTTTTTTCTGAAGTAGTCCTTCTAACAATGGTAGTTCTAGTCAATACACTAGATTAGCAAGGATATTTTAGAAAAGACAACACCTATTTAAGACAAATAACTAACTCAATTTACTTTCTTAATCTTTTCAAATTAGTCAACTAGCTCTTATAATTAAGACCAGAGGTAGTATAAAATTTGTAATAACTAATATCACCTCCGGTCCTTAATGTAAGAGTTAGTTGACTAATTTGAATAGATTAAAAAAATTATTAAGTTAGTTATTTGTAATAATTAAGTATTATCTTTCTTAAAATATACTACCTCCGGTTCTAATTATAAGAGTTAGTTGACTAATTTGAAAAGATTAAGAAAGAAATTAAGTTAGTTATTTATAATAAATGTATATTGTCTTTCCTAAAATATCTTTACTAATTAAGTGTATTGGCTATAACTATCATTGTTAGAAGGACTATCCTGAAAAAAATACATAAATATGAGACACAAAGGGGATTGGAGTCTTATATTTAGAACCAAAATAAAAGATAACAAAATCTTATATTAAAGACCAGAGGTAGTACTTGCTAATCATGTATTTGCCAAAACTATTATTTATTGAATTTTTAAATAAATGTGAAACTACTACAAAAATTACTTTACACAAATGGATAAATATAAGGGATAAATTAGATTTGGATATTATATTTATAATCAAATTAAAATCAAACTAATTCTTATATTAGTAATCAGAGATGGTATTATTTATAATTATAATACTGTAGTGGACTTGATCACCAAATGCATGAAATATAATGAATTTAGTTAGTCAAATAGCTATTAATATTTACGAACCGGTAAGAGAGGAGATCGAACTTTGTTGCGTAGGCACGAAGTTAAGGCAAGGAGCGCACGCTTAGCCTTAGGGTCCCCCAAGAGACAAAAATCCGATCCCATTGAACCACCGTAATAACTAGAAAAAGAGAAAAACACTTAACACTTGGTATATATATCATAGTTAAAACTGTGCCTAAATTAATTTTAATTTGGCTTGTGACAAGATAAATTGACTGTCTGCTGCCACCCTCAAGAGAACGGACCACCATATAATTTAAAACAAACGAAAAGCAGAGGAAGATAAAGATCCGAGAAATAAATTAGAATTGGGACCTAATGTAGAGTCTCGATGTTCATCAATGGCACGCTGTGACCCAACAAAAGTCATATGGATCACTCTCTCCCCTTTTTTCTTTTTTTTCCACATTCATTCCCTCTTCTCACTCCTTTTCTCAGTCAGAAATGGCCGCAAAGCATTCGCGTAATCGTCTTCCGGCGGTGAGCCATCAAGATCACAGACACAGAGAGGTAGGTCAAACTGAGTCAACATTTGAATTCTATATTAACTAGCTGGCTATATCTATACAGTTCTGGTAAGAAACAAATTAAAGGTAGCAGCAGCAGCACGGAGATTAGATAATATTCTTCGGAAAAATGAAGAAGAAGCAGCTACAACAAAACTAGTCATGGCTATGTGTGTATATATATTAAATATAATTAAGGCTGATGATATTATACTGTGCCGCTTGATTAATCCCAGAAGCCACTGGCTGCTTAGTCCTGACGAGGGCGAGCGACCCACAGAGAGCTGAGGGCTCTCAGACGATAAGAGTACTCCGCCATGGCCAGCAAACACCTCGCCGACTGACGCGTCGTTAGGATCTGATTCAGACGGTGGATCGTTTGGTGCCGAAGACTCCGCCTGTAAGTTTTTCATTTAAATTTTTTTCCTGAATATCTGTCACTCTGAAATGATAATATAAATCCTTTTCTCAGTCAGAAATGGCCGCAAAGCATTCGCGTAATCGTCTTCCGGCGGTGAGCCATCAAGATCACAGACACAGAGAGGTAGGTCAAACTGAGTCAACATTTTAATTCTATATTAACTAGCTGGCTATATCTATACAGTTCTGGTAAGAAACAAATTAAAGGTAGCTAGCAGCACGGAGATTAGATAATATTCTTCGGAAAAATGAAGAAGAAGCAGCTACAACAAAACTAGTCATGGCTATGTGTGTATATATATATTAAATATAATTAAGGCTGATGATATTATACTGTGCCGCTTGATTAATCCCAGAAGCTACTGGCTGCTTAGTCCTGACGAGGGCGAGCGACCCACAGAGAGCTGAGGGCTCTCAGACGATAAGAGTACTCCGCCATGGCCAGCAAACACCTCGCCGCCTGACGCGTCGTTAGGATCTGATTCAGACGGTGGATCGTTTGGTGCCGAAGACTATCCGCCTGTAAGTTTTTCATTTAAATTTTTTTCCTGAATATCTGTCACTCTGAAAATGATAATATAAAATAGAACATCATGTTGGTTTTGAAAAGAAGTATACATGGCATATTGTCAGCGACCGACCAATAGAATTTTGTAGCCAAAGTACAGTGGATGTATTCTCTTTCAAGCTTCCGAACAAATAATAAAAGGTCTGACAACTCCTGATTACGAGAGGCACGTCCTTAATTAGTCAACAAAAAAATTGGCGACCTTTCTCAGATGATCATTTTTCAACATCAAGACATTTTATTTCAACCATTTGAGTTTTTGTATCTAGATGAATGAGAACGGCAATCATGATCCTTGTGAACCTATAGCTAACCGAAAGAGGACCAGTTCAATTCAATTTTTTGGCTTCTAATAGAATTCTACAGGTTGGTCAAATTACGACTCGTGCACACATATAAATGGTCCTACCGATTAGGACGGGTAGCTTAATAGTGATAAAGCTCTTAATCATTACTCCCTCCGTTCCTTATTATAAGAGACAAATAACCGAAGTACGTTGATCAAAAAAACAGTTAAAGTTAGTTAAGAACAATTAATATATAAAAAGTATAATTTTTTTCCAAAAATACCCTCATTAATAAGGAGAGAGAGCATGAAGAGAGAACAATTAAATTTATTAAAAGAGAAGTGGGAGGGAAGAGAGTGGTGAGTTGGAGATAATAAATATGGGTAAATAGTAAATCAACACAAAAGTAGAGACAACTTGTAAGTGTCTCTTATATATAGGAACATGGCATAAGCATCAAGTGTCTCTTATAATAAGGAACGGAGGGAGTACCATTGAGGATCTCCCTCTAGCTAGCTAGTTTGCGTGCCTATATATGCTAAATTGATTGGTTGAAGTGTTTGTGCTCTTCGGTGACTTTAATGCTCACTCTCATTCACCCGTTGAAACAAGCAGTTGGTGAACCAACCTAATGACCCCGAGGTTGTACATAGAAAACTGTGACATCTGCTTTTGATATCTGCAGTCAATAATCCATGTTTAGCTTTCAGCAGGGCCCTTTTTCTCCTTTTTGCTTGTACTTGGCATGCATGGGGGCATCAATTCTGTAGGATATCTTAGAATTAAAATACTACATCTTTTAATGATTTAATGATTTTTATTTTGATTATAAATATCATATTCTAATAGATTTTATTTTTTATATTTATATATTTTTTTAAAAAAAATTTTTTCTAATGATATATTTTCTAACTGATATATTTGGTTACTAAAAATTTTTAAAAAAAAACATCTATTTATTACAAATAACTAACTTAACTTATTTCTTATTTCACTCAAATTATTCAGTTAGTTTTTATATTTAAAATTAGAGTACATGTGTTCACATTAATTGAAATAGACTAATCGTAAATGTCCTATCATGAGTTTGGTAAACACTGGACGACATAAATGGTATGAATGAAATTTGGACGGAACAAATTCAATTAAGTAAACTAATTAATTTGGAGCAGCCAATTAATTAGCCAGTAAGATCATTCACGCATTTAATTGAATTGACAGCATACTAAAGTCAAATTCTTCTTCTACACAGCTGTTTGAATTTTAATCTAGGGTTGGTTTGAATTTTTATTTATAACCATCCGTGATCCATCTCACTCTCAATACCAAAATGTATTTCCTTTATTTTAAAAAAATAAAAATTGAAGTCAAGACAAAAAGATAGAAATTTGCATCCTCTCCTGTGTAGGGGAAGAATCTCTTCCATGTGTGTCGATAAAAAAAAAAGAGTAAAAAGAAAGAAATATCTTTGCACGTGGGAAAGCATTTTCACCAACCCGTGAATATAAAGATCCTCCCTTTGTATTGGAAAGAACTAGAGGTGGGTTTCATAGTTTATAAATATAGCAACAAGGTAGTGTTTGACTTCTAATTAACTCAGGAATATCGGAATTCTCACATATAGCGGGAGATCCTCATTGATTCAGGAACATGGGGATTCTCACTGGTCCTCGAAGGAATCCTTATGAACCAGTGAACATTGGGATATGAGAGTTTGTAGTTTGAGGAAATATTCAACAAAGGGGGTTATGGGGAAGGGTTTATGAAACGCCTTCGAGTCAAACGGTTACAACCATGACATCATCTAGATATGGGCCTCAGTGTATGTATCTCTCTCTCTCTCCCTCTATCTCTCTCTGGATGAGGATTATTTTACTGAGGGACCACAGGTACTACTATGCCTTCGTGTCACGTGTACATTATATATTATGTTGTCAAAAAAAAAAAAAACCTTCAGTTTTGAGTATGTTTATATGGGGGAACATTAACATAACATAGTGAACAAATAGTCATTTAATTTGTATAAATTAAAATTAATCTAGGTTTGCGTGTGTATATAAATATATATATGCTATATGTAGGTCCCGCGTAACTAACTGAAGAGCGAGACATGCATGGAAGGAGTAGTTGATGAGGGTGGGTAGGTATCCTAACCCAAAGAGAAACAGGTTATTGTTCTTACTCGACCCCATCACGAGACCAGTTATGGAAAAGTTTGATCATATTCATGCCTCATGGTGGTCCACAATAACCAGCTGACTCAGTTTATAACACCATGCACATTATATATGGGCACAGATATATATATATATATATATATATATGCGGGACGAGATTCAACATGCATTCGTGGTTAACATATGAAGTTTTTACGTGCGTGAGAGTGAATCAAACAATGAGGTAGTACGTACCTGTCGGACGAAACCTTCGAGGGTGGAGAGCTTATTCATGGCCAGGGCCATTTGTCCCATGTAGTTGGCCATATTAGGGGTGCAGCTCAAGGAGTCTGACGTTATGGTTTCCGAGAGAGATTGATTCAGAGCTTCCAGCCCTTGTGAGAGTGCATCTTCTGCCTCCTGCGTGGATTGTTGCAGTCCACATATCCCAAGTATTTGTTGCTCCGTCAGCGGCTCTATTTGACTTAGGATTATCTGTAACACCAACGTAACACACATTGATTCCTAGCTATTTGTTGATGCGTGTTTCAACATATATGCTACCTCCGGTCCTAATTATAATTAAGACTTTGTTTATACCACAAACGATGTCTTATAATTAGGACTAGAGGTAGTATAACAAAAATTTCAGGTTGAGACGGAGTTGTTTGATTGATTAACTAAAACACAAAGGAAGAGAAATAAGTATGGGAACGACAACTTTATTCCCATGGACAACGACCACGAAAGAAGACAAAGAGGGACAGAGACCTGGGCCTCTCTCTCTCTCTCTCTCTCTCTCTCTGCCCCCTAAATTTCCGGTTCCAACAAGAGGAATTGGAGTGAAAGCAATGGCTTTATGGGAACGAAGCCTAACTCCAACCGTTCACGGAAACCACCATCATTGTGATACCTTTCGTCATTAATTCATTAATTTGTACTCCTCTGCGCTTCTTTTACATTTCAACTTGATTACTTCCCTCTGTTTCACTCCTCGCGCCAATATTTTATTCTTTAAAAACGGGGAATGTAAGCCTGATGACTAGTTTTGTAAGGTGATAAACAACCACGTACCTTAATGAGTTCGGAGGGCCTAGATCCACCGATCCACATGAAGCAACGCTCGGCGGGAGTCTTCCACATGCCGGAAACAAGGTGGAAGACGTCGGTTTTAGCCACAATGCTCTTGAGGTTCATAACTTGGTCACAGTGAGCAAGGCAGTTGTCCACGAACAGCCTCAGCTCGTTCTCCGGCAGGTGCTCTTGAACCGCCGCTCTCAGCTCGCACACTAGCCGCTGGTGCTCCTCTACCCATCTCCCGTATTCCACGTCGAACATTGCAGCATCTGTCCCATTTTCATTTTCATTTTCATTATTATTATTATTTTCTTTATCATAACGTAATTAACACACAAAGTTTTCATTAATATATCGTCGCGGGGAAGACCTGAGCTAACGGTACTCATAGCCACAGGAAGGCCTTGCTCTCCTCCAAAAATTGCACCCGATCCTCCGAAGAATATGCCCTAAAAATAAAGCACTCGTTACTTGTCAGTGTTTCAGCTTTGTTTATCAGTCGGTGTGGTTTCCATTTATAGCATTAAGTGTTTGCCCTCAATCAAAAGTTTTCTTACTTGAGCTCTAGCACGCTGCAACTCCTGTTCCAGCTGATTCAGTCTGATCCTGCTTGACTCTAGCTGCTGCACATATGCCTGATCATCCCCCGGAAAAAAAATCATTATGATGATGACTATAACACAAACGATGTAAATAAAGGGGTATACCCTAGATAACTTTTAAAAGTTCTTGCCTAAAATGAGCGAAACACTACTGACATGAAATTATAATATTGTGGGGGTCTCACCTTCTTTCTAAGCCTGCTTTTCCTAGCTGCCTCTCTATTCTGAGCTAGTCTCCTAAGTGTCTGTGCAAAACAATTTTCAAAAGCAAACATTCAACAACGTCAATTTATCATCTCGGAACTTTTTTCTTTTAAATATATATATATGTAAAGAAAGAATTAGCTTGCTAGGAGAAGGAAAAAGAAAAAGAGAAACCTTAGGATCAGGTGTTCTAGGCCCTTCCTGTTCAGAGCTTGAGGTTGGGCCCTTGCGAGTGCTGTCCCGCTGCAACATACACCCATAGCACATGCATAGCGTTGGTGAATAGTGGCGAAAATGATAAATATATACATCCCATAATTAAGCTGAGAATCTCGGGTTTCAAAGATGCTACCGAACTCTGATTCTTGTTCTGTATTGATTTGATCATTTTAATTCATATGTTTGATAATTATATTATACTATATCTAAGTCACCTTGACAGCTTTGGCTGATTGATTCGCGGCGGCGGGGCCTTCGTTTTGCGAGCTAGACAACTTCATGGGCGGCTCCGATGGTCTCTTGGAACCACTGCTCTGGGGAGAAACCAACTCCACGCTAGCCTACGTACCAATCACCGAATACAAACAAGCCCACCATGAAATGTTTCCGGCCGTAACAAACTAAAGAAGCAAGTCGGAAATCAAATAATCCAAAATGATTAATATGGGAATTTGTTAGTGGGATTAATTAGTATACCTTGGATGAAGGCGGGTCTACGTGCATAGGCTGAGACGGGAAAATGTTGAGAGTCGGAGGCCTCATTCCCGACGATGATGAGTTCTCTGCCGATGACGAGGAAAATGTTCAGAAACACAACAATTATCAATTATCAAATACACACACACACACATGTAATAATAAGGAGCTTAATGAGTAGCGAGGAAAGGAGCAAGCTTATATGGGAAAAAGGTGTTTATGATGGGAGGAGACGGTTGAGTGAGAAGCGAAAAGGGAAGGCAACAAGGGAGGTGTGAACGGGAGAAAGCAAAATCTGGGGAATTGTCATGCAATTGGAGCTCTGAGCTCTGCCATCCCCAAACAGAAAAAAGAAGAAAGGAGGGGAAGAAAAGCCAGAGCGCAAGCATACCCTATTCGATCGTACTCTTTACGGTACATGTGGAATTAGCAAGCAAATAATCATGACACCCCGCTTTGTTACATGTCATGATCTTACCACCTCCAAGCAACAAAAATATAGAAACAAGTAAATTCAGTAACAAAGAGAGAGGTGGGGAGAGAGGGGTTTTCTGTTTTTCTTTTTGTCTTTGGGGAATGACCTCGCTCCATTTCTTCTCTTTCCGCCTTTTTCTCCCTCCCTGCAAAGATCGGGTCAAAGCAGGTACTGCGGCTGCAGATATGAATTTGACGAACATGCTTTCCATGTGAGCGGAACGGCCCACCTCTCCCCATAGTCTCTCCGATCAGAAACCAAAAAGCATATTCCCCTTTTTGAAAACCGAAGGAAATTAGTACGAGTAGGAAGAGAGAGAAAAGCTCACGTCTTTGGTCCTGAACATTAATGGAGGAAGGGTCGGCCTGTCCGTCGAGATACAAAAGAAGTGCTTGATCCAAGTCGCCTAAATCGTAAGCTCCGGAATCCTTACTTCTGTTCATCCAACACACACACGACAATTAAAAAGAAGAAGAAGAGAGGAAAAAAGAGCGGAGAGACGGGGAGTAGGGTGATGAAAAAGCTCACAGAAAATTGGCGGCCGGGATGGAAGAGGAGGAAGAAGATTGCATCATTCCGAAAGAGATGCGGTGGTCTTGAATTTGATGAAGTGGGAGTGAATCCATGTGAGGAGTGCTGGCTTGGTTGTTGGTCTTGTTATTAGTGTAAGCCATGGCGAGACTTGGAAGTGCCTGGAAGAAGCTTTGTCTTTTGCGCCACTAGCTCTCCAAAACCCCATTAATGGCGAAACCGCCTTCTGTTTCTTCCACGTAAAATCATTTCTTTTTCTCCTTTGTCCGCCAGGAGCAGCGAGTCGGTTGTAGTCCAAGAGAGAGAAGGGACGAATCCTTTGAATAGAATTGAATTAAATGCAAATTAAGGGGTACAAAAGACAAAGCTGCTTTTTCCTTTCATACGGGTACCTCTCCTCTCTCCCTCTCTCTTACTTCTCTCTCATCTCTGCCCACTACACAGTCTTCAGATAAAGCGGTTCTCAGCCTTCTCTCTCTCTAGAAAACGCAGCGAAGTGTAAAAGAAACTGTCTTTGTTCATTTAGAGAAAAAACCACTTTACACAGAAACGCAATGAAGCCCACCTATGTCTTCCTTGTCTACCCTTCTCTTTTTTTCAATTGGACCAAGTAACCGAAAAGTCTTTCTCTTTCTTCGACTTTTACTATTGACATTTTCATGCAAACTTACACGTAGATCACTCCCCCTTCTTTTTTCTTGGCCCCCTTTTGTTTTCGTCTCCCCCCCCCCCCCAAAAAAATCTCTTTTTTCCCCGCCCTATTTCAAAATAAAAGGAAATAAAATCCAACAAATACAAATGAGGAAGGCATAATATTATTAAATACTCCTCCGGTCCTTATTATAAGACCCAATTTGACTTTTTATTTGGTCCTAATTATAAGACCCAATTCATTTTCTCTCTTATATTTATACATTTTTTTCCAAGATAATCCTTCTAATAATGATAGTTTTAGCCAATATACTTAATTAGCAAGGATATTTTAGGAATAACAACACTTATTTATTATAAATAACCAACTTAACTTACTTCCTTAATCTCCTCAAATAAGTCAATTGGGTCTTATAATTAGGACCGGAGGAGTACTAAAAAACTCATTAATTTCGGAATTTATTTATTTTGAAATCCCTTGTCAGCTATGGAGAGTTAATATCTATAACATCTTCACCTCTTTATGATTTGGAGGGAGATATTCAATTTAACTCCCGTGTATTTTTAATAAAATCCTTTTAGTCATATAAATGATTTTTTTAATCGTTAGGATAATGATTTTACAAGTTTGAATATTGCACATCGTTTTCCGTTTTTCAGTTTTCTCTTTATTTTTTAAAGCACATATCATTGTAACTCGTTTTCAATACCTTAGATTATTTATAAAGTAATCGGGGTCTCATGGTTAGCTTGCCGACGTAAGTTACCTGGGCATAATGGATGGTTGAAAATACCTTTGCTTAAGCATTATTCCCAACCTGAACAAAATTGACTTTGAGAAATATACTAATTAATTATGGATAAATATATATATTAAAGAAAAGTCCCTGATCGGAAATTTGAAGGCGCCAGGGTTGCGAATTCAACTTGTTAATTCTTTTCATGCGTTAAAACGGCGTCCGTTGCCCCTAATCCTTCAAGTGTCCCAGCTTCCAAGCAAGAACATCGATCAGGCAATAAAAAAAAAAATTCAGTGTATAAACTTTTTTAAAATTATATATTCCAATTGTCTTAACTGAAAGTTATGGGAATAAATTTAAGATGGTTTAGTTAATTAATTAATTGGGCGAATATATAACATTGACTGGTTATGTAATTGTCATCAAGTATTGTTTTTGGCAAATGGGGAGCATTCATTATTAAATAATTGTTAAATTCTCAATCAATTCCAAAGTCATTATTTAAAAATCTACATAACCTCACAAAAGTCAATACCCTCTTGAAATTATTATGCCATACGTTTTTCATCTGTCCCAAGCAGTCTAGCTTGAACCTTGTTCAATTTATGTGTGTTTTACGCACGCCTATCTAGTCTCTTCAAAATATATATAGTCAATGCTAAATTTATTCACGTTTTAAATAATAAGAGTCCCCATCATTTAAAACACTACTACCTCGAGTTCTAATTAAAAGAGGTAGTTGACTAATTTGAGAAAATTAAGAAAGTAAGTTAACTTAGTTATTTATAATAAATAGGTGTTTTCTTTCCTAAAATATTCTTGCTAATCAAGTTTATTGTCTAGAACTATCATTATTAGAGGGACTACCTTGAAAAAAATTACATAAATATAAAAGACAAAGTGGATTAAGATTTTATAATTAAAACTAAAATAAAAGTCAAACGATATCTTATATTAAAGATCGGATGTAATACTATATAACGATGAAATTAAGCTTTAAAATTGTGGCTTCATGAATTAAAGTAATTAATGCGCGGGACTATCATCGATCACAGTCATGTAAAACATGTAAGGTTTGAGAAATGTGATCGATATATCAATATCACATGACTGTGAACAAATTCAATTTTATGAAATGGTTCAACAAAATAATATCTGTTAAAATTTATTTCCTGGAATATAAATAGTTAATTCACTGGGAATTTAACTTGTTCTTAGTAGTAATTCGCAGTTAATTATCGATATTTCGGTCCAGGAATTTGAAAAAAGAAACCAGAGTGTAGTGCATACAACCAACAAAGACACGCATTGTGATCAGGAAACATATAGTTTTTTTTTTTTTTTTTTAAAGCCAACAACAAACACAGAATTGAAAGGTTCCAGAAGGAAACACTTATGGTCCTGTGTGTGTGTTGCTTGAGTTTGTAAAACATAATTTGAGAGTTGATGTTAGTTATATAAGAAAGACCTATATCATGTATTTGTTAATCTCTTTTAAATTAACCCACTGATACTCTTTAAATAATAATTAAATAAGAGAGAGAGGAAGTAAATTAAGAAGGATGATTAGGGTATTTTAAAAAAACATATCATATTAACTAATATCATTAATCTATTCAAATTAGTTAATTAGGTCTCACATTAAGGATCAAAGAAGTACTATTTTAATTTTATTTATAAATGATTTTCAACATATTTTATTAAATAAAAAATTCAAATCTTATTAATTTTATTTTAAAATTTAATAACTTTCATAAATCTAAATAAACCTGTCTACATATTTATTTTGTATATTATAAAAATATTTTTAAATTTATAGTTTTGTTTCTGTCTAAGTACTCCTAAGAGGTTAAGGCACCGTTTGGGTGACACCCCAAACCATGGTTTGAGTGATAAGTCACCTAAACACTCACCCAATTTGCACAAACCGTGGTTTTGGCTCCAAAATCATGGTTTTGGAAAAAGTAAAATTTTTTTGTTTTTAGAGAAAAAAGGGAGAGTGTGAGAGCCTATAGGATACGTATCTTGTTATTTTTTTAATAAACATATTTTTTTATAAACATATTTAATCTTATATTTTATAAATATATATATACATATTAATTAATTATTAATTATATTATCTTATGTATTATTAATTATGCTAATAAAAAATATATTATTAACAATTTTATTCCTTTAAATTAAAATATATCATAAAATCTATTTTTTCTGTAATTATCATATTAAATTATGTCTTTTTTTAGTAATTTATATATATATAAAAGGTGTTTCTGATAACAACTATCCAAACACTCTCACTTCTCAAAATCACTTTTTCAAACCACGGTTTAGTTTCATCCAAACACACCCTAAGAGCCGTTGCGTGACCTGTGAGCCTGCGGACGCATCGAGCCTTAAACAATTCCTATTTGCAATAGCTGTCGCCGCAGCACGGATGCAGAATGCAACCGTCCACGTGTCAGGTTCATGTTAAGTGTGGGGCCATTAAAATTTTATATTTGACGATCTGGCGGCTGTGATCCGCGGAGATGAAACCTCCGTTGGAAAGATCCTGGGGTCCACTGCCATCCCCATCCCCGCTTTTTGTTTTTTTTTTTTAGCCATATTTTAATGGTTTACAAACCTGGCATTCAACTGCTCCAACCATTTTTTAATCATTTGCCTTTTTGATGGGAGTGCAGGTGCGCAAATGATATTTTTTTCCAAAAAAAAAAGAAAAAAGGGTAGGTCTAATCCTGCAAAGTGTTTCTAACCCTACCCCTATCTGAAAGGCATATGGTTGTTACACAAAAAAGGTCTTTAAATAATTCAATTAATTAATAATGATTGCAACTCATAAGAGCTCTTGCTCGAATTTTTAGTTGCATCAGTGAATAATTATTTTAAAGTATTTTATGTAAGCATTCTTTAAATCATAACGCTTAATATAATTCTAGCGAGTAGCTGTAATCTAATTCACTTAAAAATACAAAAGATTAAACTGCCTACTTAAAAAGCAAATATAGATTCGAACCGATTGACAAACGATGACGCCTAGGCACCTCGTATAAAATCTCCGCGCAAAACAACAGTATAATCACATCTGAACTTTCCCCCACGCGCGCATGTATATAACTTTTTGCGCATCACGGGAACCCCCCCCCCCAAAAAAAAAAAGGTAATATAACAGTGGTCATCTGAAATACAGGCTAAAAATTAGGTATCGAAATAACCTTTGACTCCGTAGAACTCTGGTTTTTAATGTAAAGTTTGTTTTATTTTTATTTTAATTTTAAATATAAGATCTCAATTAACTTTTGAAAAAATCCCAATTAAATCCATCTGAAATAATGAAATTCCAATTAAGGCTTATACTTTTAACAAATTCCTAATTAGGGCAAGAGGCCTGATTAGGGATTTTCAAATGTTGCTAAAAGACCAAAATGCCTCTCTGTAATCAAAAAAGAAAATTGAATGTAGGTGTAAGCCTAATTTTAGTTTTAATTATTTTAGTAGATTTACTAATGAGGATGTGGTTTTTCTTAGACTTTATGTCAAATTTGTGTTTTGTACTTGTGAATGTTATATCAACTCTAGAATTTATGGCCTTTTAGTGGAGTATTTTTTATATACTAAAAATTTGATATTGAATAAATCTTGGAGACCGAAAATTGAAGATGAATTGATGAGTCTCAATGTAATTTTTGAAACAGTAAAATTAATTTTGATAGATATTCAAGAATTTCAGAATCTTTTATTTGATTTTTCTCGCACAAAAAAAAAACTTTGATTCTGTTAATATTTGACATTTGAAATCGTAAAATTTTTATTAGTTCCCATATTTTTGTAATTCTATGGATATCTAGAAATTATGTATTTTTTTATCTGTACTCTTCAATTTTTTTATTGGCCATAATCGTGATTTTTATTTTTTTTTATATGATAATATTTTTGGCCAAATTTTCATATGATATATTTAAAGAAAAAACATGTTAGTTAAATTCAATTAAAAGAATTAAACTAAAATTAGGCTTTTTAATTACAGAGGGCATTTTGGTCTTTTAGCAACATTTATAAATCTCCAAT